ACACAGGCATACAGTGTGCTACATGTATGAGAGAAATTTTGCCCGGACTGCAGCGCTACGGCCTACTCTTAATCTTATATTACAAATGTATATCGAATTCCAAATTCCAAATTTATAGCAGTAAACATGCACATGTAATGTTACACCAAACACCTTCTAGAATAAAGGGTATTTTTACCCGGAAATTAAATGGGGTTTAAAGTCCTACTGTTTTACTCCGACTGGGCTAATGAAGACGGGCATACGCCATACTGTGTGCTATGAGGGAAATTTTGCCTGGCCGGTGGCACTATGGCCTACTCTTATATCGAATTCCAACTGCCAAGAGATCTTTTACGTTCACACAAATGTGTACACGGGACCTTGGTTTTTCGTACCATCCGAACGACTAGACAGTTGTCCTTGTCAAGACGTATTTTTACCCAAAAACTTATGACGATGAATAAACTATCTTTCATTTCCTGTTTTTGTACTGCTGTTGAGTGGGGATTTTTAAACACCTTCTCTCTTCGCTGGCACAATCGTTTGATCCAGCAGCTACACGAATCTACTGGCTTGTCCAGCCTGTGCTAATCTTTTAAGGGAGTGTTACCGTCCCCCCCTCGCATTTCCTACTCTCTAGAACAAATGGTACTACTTTACTATCAGGGTACTGAATTATTAGGGGGGTTGGATGGCCGAATGGTTAGCGCATGCTCGTTGTATCATAAGGTCTGTCTTGAGTCAACTGGCGTGGTTTTGATTCCCCGGGTGTAGAGTTGTCTGTCCAATCTCGTTTGTTTTTTCTGGGTCCTCCGGTTTCCTCCCACTGCTAAAGACTCCTACCCGCAAGCGAATCAATGAAATAAAATTAAACCATGTGTTAGTCCCGAAATGAACTGGTTTGTGTCGAGTGGACGTTAAACCCCATTTCTCTCCCTCTATTGAATTATTATCACAGTTACATCCTTAATTAAATTGATTTGTCTCAGGTTTGTTTTTTTATTTATTTAATGAATGTTTTTGTACCTAATTACACCTTGATTACATACATGTATAATAACTGATGTACAGGTACACATCATGTTTTTTATAATCAATAATAAAACCGTACTCTTTTATCAAAATCATAGTGCAGTAAGATGACTGACTCACTCTACAGCTGTGTCATTGTCAGTGTCGACACAAGGTACGAAAAACATAATCTAACATGTTGCTGTTGTAAGGTGAATTTTTGTGGTCACATACATACTATATGTACATAGAATATTATATAGGTACATGTATATATTGTACTAAAATTATATATGATTTCCTTCAACAAAAAAACATAATTGATATAGAGGAAATTGACATCCGAATCTGATTTATATTAAAGATTTCATTCATTCAATTAAAGGGCTTTCTCCTTTCTGTCACAATTGAGCTAAACGTGATCAGATAATATTATTTAGTTTAAAATGTTTTCATTAAATACATGTACATGTACACTGATTGTACGCGTAAAGCAAGTTAACAATACAATATATATTTTTTTAGATTATTTAGAAGAAAAAAAAACGTTGAAAATGAGCCGTTTACCAAGTCTGTATTTGGCCCCAATGAAATAAAGTTGTCATCCATTTTGTACACAAACAATCTAATCTACTTCGTGAAATTAGTATACTGTTGTGTAATGCGGTCCTACTCCGGTTCACATCTGTTATACACAAAAAAAAAATGTATCATACAGCCTGTCATTGAGTCAACTGGCGTGGTTTCGAATCCCCGGTTGTACGTGACAAGGAGTAGGGTCGCCTGTCCAATCTCGTGGGTTTTCTCCGGGTCCTCCGGTTTCCTCCCACTGCTAAAGACCCCTACGCGCAAGCGAATTATTGAAATAAAATTAAACCATATGTTAGTCCTGAAATGACCTAGTTTGTGTCGAGTGTACGTTAAACCCCATTTCTCTCTCTCTCTCTGTATGCGGAACCGCCGCTGTCCGGGCAAAATTTGCCTTATGGTACGGATGGTAGGAACAATGATGTCACTGTTTACATGTTGGCCTGTGCGTAAACGATCCTGCGGAAATGCAGGAGTCCGGTCTTCAATTCGGCACACAGAGAAGTATCTACTCTACTTCGGAAATAGATCTCTGCCCTAAATGACCGCCATATCCAAGAATTAGTATACTGTTTTGTAATGCGGTCCTACTCCTAAGACTAATTAAACCTTTTCAATTTTATTAAATGAAAGCAGACTTTTCGAAATATATTTAGTGTTTTTGACTAAAATCATCGATTTAAGACTTAAAATATTCTCAAGCAGAGCTACATGTAATTGTAGACAGAAAGCGTAAGTTTTCAATAATTCGCTTGCACATAGGAGTCTTTACCTGTGGAAGGATTCACGGGAGGACCTGGTGTTTAAACCTATGAGGTTGGACAGGCCACTCTACTCCTTGTCACGTACATGCAGGGAATTGAAACCACGCCACTTGACTCAGTGACAGACCTTGTGATTTCACGAGCACACGTAAAACCACTAGACAACCTTACCCCCACATGATATAGAAAAGAAATAAAATGGGGTTTAACATCCTACTCCGACTTGGCTAATGAGCTAAATTTTGCCTACTCTTATATCAAATTCCAACTGCCAGGGGATCTTTAAAGTGCACAGCAATGTGTACTAGGGACCTTGGTTTTTCGTACCATACAAACAACCATAACTTGTCCCTTGCCAGGCCCTCAGTCCTGCACCACTGACATGAAGGAACCGTGCGGAAATATCCCGATAACCAGCACAGGGATCGAACAAGGGAGCTCCAGGTTAGCGAGCCAACATTGTAGCCACTGTGGCTCCCACACTAATCAGCAGTGAATATTCGCTAGGCCGCTACAATCACTGATAAGGATGACATCGAAGCGAACTTAATGAACCAGAAATATTAACTTTTTCCCTCCGACAAATTAAATTCTAAAACATTTTTTTTTATGTATTAGAAAAATAAATAAAGACGTTTGAAGTATTTGTAGGTAAAAATTATTTTCTATGTGGTGTAAATGGGTATTAAAATACTATAAGGCGCCATTAAGCCAATGATTGACATCGCGTGATGTGACGTCAACGTGCTGATGACAGTCATCTTTAGCAGAGATATTAGAAGACTTTCGTAATCCTCTGTAAAACAGATTGCGTGGCTCCCACACATGATACAGAGCCTCTGTACATGGATACCATACATGCCTAACAGTAACACAAAATTGTACAAGGACAAAGGAACAAATATGCGATATATGTGAATTTCTTAAAATATTGCACACCCTAACCACACAAATATTAAAATCTTTTGTTCTTATCTCAATATTAGTCTCACAATGTGTTTACTGTTTGCCCAAGGTTAGTAAACATATACCGTATGTAGCCTACATACATGTAAGATGAACAAGACAGTATGTACTATGTATAATTCAATACAAGTTAAGATGTTGATATGAATACTGTACATTGAGTCAGTCAATATTTGTAATTTCAAGAACCGGTAAATGACAGTTCATCCAGGAATGTCGTGCTTGACATTAATACTACAGACAAATTTATGATATGAATACTGTACATTGAGTCAGTCAATATTTGTAATTTCAAGAACCGGTAAATGACAGTTCATCCAGGAATGTCGTGCTTGACATTAATACTACAGACAAATTTATCAAACTCATTAATAACATTATAATTCAATATATTGCTTAGGTTCATGATACCATGATTGTAGGGTCTGTCAATGTCAATATTTGTAATTTCAAGTAAATCACAGGTCAATGTCTGGCATATCGTGCTTGACATTTAATATTATAGAAAAATTTATCTGACAACTCAGACCAAGGACCACTCGAATCAAGAACACCAATAGAAGACCTCTCGGACCACGATAGTTGTGTTTGTTTTAATACATGATCCAAGCTGAAGACAACTCAGACAAAATTAAATTAAAATACTACAACTAATATATTGTTTTTTATCTTTATTATTTATTTCACCGGCAAGTAAATGTTCAGCAAATAAATAATTATGTCTTTATTACTTCAACAATTTATTAAAAAAAATTGTATCATGGTTCAAGTGTTTTTTAAAGAAAACAAATAAATACAACTATCAATTTATTTGTTGTTCTGAGTAGTCTTCTGTCTTGGTCCACATGGTAAATTAATGGTCCGAGTGGTCTTGTTCCGAGTTGTCTGCATACCCCTCTGCGATGTCAAGTTTGTCGATACCCAAGCCTATTATTTTTCAGTGCCACTCCTATAATTTCTATATATAATAAATAATAATAATAATAATGACACATGCTCAAAGCGCTTCAGTAATGACTCTACTGGTAACACTGTCGAAACAGGAAAGTCTTTAGTGTGGATTTAAATTGATTAAAAGTCTGTTGATTCTTGATCTGTTGTGGCAGTTCATTAATTAATCTATCTACTATCTAGGACCAGCTGAACTGAAGGCTATACCCATATGACTTTTAAGTTATATCTTGGAACAACTAGTGACTACTTGATTTGCACCTCAAATTTAATATATGCTGATTTTTTAATATACATGTATAGACCAAATCATGGACCTTACAATGACCTAAGGTACCCTACTGTTGTGGGGGTGTAAGACTAAGAGAAGTGATTCCAACATCTTACACGTATAGATTATCATTATACTATAGATTCAGCTGACGTCTGAATCGGAGCAGGGAGTCAGCAAAGACAGCCGGTTGTTATGTTAAACAAGCCTCATTTTTAATAAATGGGATTATGTATGTACGTTTTTGACATCAAATAACAAACAAAAAACACAATGACGATAGTCGGAAAATGATACCGTTTGATATGAGTCAGTGTATTTTGACAGTTGACATCTGGGAATCTGTCCGATTGATCGAGAGTACGAGACACATTTTTATTGCAAAAATCATAGCTATGAATAAAGAGAAAATATCCAATTATTCCAGCTCTGACATAAATAAAATTCATAGAATTAAATGGACCTACCTGGGGATGCAGCTTGGGGAGCTTTTTTCCACCTCCCAGGTTGCAAATAATTTCATGGGAACGGGTTTTACACCCGATCCCGTATTTTTTGACGGCCTATCCGCCATTTTCTTTAATCCTTTCAACGCATGCGTGTTATTGTTTTGATGCTCCCGGAAGTAAGCGTCGTAAACTTGTTGGCATTTATACATCTTCATTTATGGCGTTTAAAACACAAAATAAATTATTTTCACAGTTCTAAAAAAATCCAACAGAGTCGTATTCGGATCATAATATTACAATTAAAATTTATGATAAACTACAATACTCCATATATTTTTTCAAAGCACATATCTTCCAATAGCGCGCACATGTTTTGCGCTAGGCGCGTATTTCAACACAGCCATTCACTCGTCTGAAGGCTGAATGAAACTTCAGCCGACAACGCAGTGTTATATGGATCGTGAATGCCACTCCAGCCGCGGATAGTAAACAACCAGAGCGAGCGAATATTAAATGAACACGGATCGTATATCTATACATCTGTCATGTAATAATGATATTTTAGCTGTTTATTTATGATTCGTTGGAAAACCTATTAAAAATGTTGATTATTCGAGCTAATCAGTAAGCTATATTTTATAAGATTAGAAACCCTTGCGGCTGGTGATTTACCCGTATTAGAAAAGTAGAAATATTGGGGTAAAAAATTCACACGTATCTATCTTTATGAGCGAATGAAATCGAATATTAAAGACAAACCGTCATATTCCCAACCGGCCGTTAATTGCGCTAATTAAAGAACAAAAAGGAACTGTTAATTAGAATATTTATTGCTAGGCTACTGAATTAATAAGGGTGTGTGGGTGCGAATGGTTAACGTGTGCGCGTTGGACCAGGTTTGTCATTCAGTCAAGTGGCGTGGTTTCGATTCTCCGCTTGTACATGGCAACTCATGGGTTTTCGCCGGTTCTCTCGGTTTCCTTCCATTGCTAAAGACCGCGCAAGCGAATTATTGAAATAAAATTGAAGCATATATGTTAGTCCCGAAATGACCTATATATAGTTTGTGTCGAGTGGACGTTAAACCCAATTTCTCTCTCTCACTAAATTACACAGTTACGGAAGCGTAATTAAGGCCAAATAGTTAAGTCCCAATTAGGATATGGTAACTTAATTAGAATATATATTTTTATCGTAATTTTGCCCTATAGTTCCGTATATACAGTGCTTTTATCATTTAAACTGTTCTATTTTTGTTCCAAATGATGAGCTTTAGGAATACAATCCAAATTACGGTGACCCCATATTCTTATCTGGAGAGCATATGCAATAAATACTATCAGTGTAGACTGGAATAACCAGGCGCTAGAGATTGCCATTCGATTGAGACTTCTGGCGCATTTCGCCGAACATAACTGCTTTGAAATTAGAGTAAAAACGGAAACGACTGAATGTAAATCAGTTTATTTACATTCATATTACATTATTATATACGTTGCGACCCATTTGTGTCAATTTGTAGGTCCCAAATATTAGCGATTTAGCTCCTTTAAGTCCATAGTATTATACACAAAACGACAAAGTACAGTATGCGGACTTTGCCGGAATAAAGTTATAGCTTAAAATTCAGTCTAGTATTTACTCTTCGCATTATTGGGCCTTATCAGGTGTTTTGAAAAAGACCCACGTATAATAATATAATATCAGAATTTATGTAACGTACGATTACTAAACAACAAGTAGGCCTTCAAATGCGCTTTTAAGTATTTTCTCGTTGGTCTCATAAGACTAGTTTGAAAAGGATGGGTTTTCAATGTTGACAACAATGTTTCGACAGAGTCGGGTTCCGGGGATATATGGTGCATCAAACGCAAAATATATCTTTTACCGTGTTCGAGTTGTATTTGTCTTTTGAGGAAGAACGTGTCCCCGGCCTGGATTCATGGCTTTATGAGCATCTCCTTCATGTAGTTCGGCATTTGTTTTTTTAATCCCTTGTAAGTATTGAGAAATATTTTGATAGCAATCCGCTTTTTCACAGGGAGCCATTGTAGTTTTGACAGAATGGGTGTTATCCTCTCGTATCTGACCCCTATACGTAAGCTATAATTGACACCCGCCCCTGATAGCCCCCATTCCACCCTTTAGTCAGTCGACATAGTACTCTGAATTCGATAAGCGCCCAATAAGTAAACTAGCTTTGTTGATTTCCCAAAAGGAAATTAATAAGTTATCCGTTGTTAATGTACGGTGGCTGAATGTAGAAGCCCGACACGATCGCCCCACTTGCGCCAGGGTAAATTAGCCAATGATCAGTTCCTACATATGAATAAATAACCTTGGACCCGGGCTTCTAGATAAGAGGAAATGTCAATCTCTCTTAGAAATACTCTGTAATCTCGATATATACTAAGCAGCAAAAGAACCGTCAGGTTGGTATGTTACTCGGAATAGAGGCATTGCATAAAACTTGTCAAATATTTTTATTGTATATTTGTGACCACATCTCCATCTTTACCGGAGCAATAAGATTCCTTCCCAAACACAGAATTGAACCCAGGAAATGTTCTCAAAAACGCAACCTGACTTCCGAGATGATAATGTGTTCTCCATGATCTTCATGTAACTCATACTGCACGTGCTGTTCACCGGGTCAACCGGGACCAGTCCTATAAAATGCACCCCCATACCTGGTTGAATCATTCACACTACAACGTCAGCAGCATGCCACAACTCACGACAGCTCAGAGGAACCAGGCGCTTGGAAGACTCGACGCTGGCCACACTGCCCGAGCCGTTCCAAGTCAATGTTAGGACCATCCACAGGCTTCAACAACGCTTTCGGGTCACCAACACCACGAATGATCGCCCCCGAACTGGTAAACCAAGGGTTACCACAAGGCGACAAGATTGCCATGTTGTGTGACAGCACGTGCAAAATCCCTTCACACAGGCATCTGAGACAGCAAACGCTCGACTTAGTATCTCAACTTTTCAAGCGCTCAACTAATATCTCGAGCGCTCTACTTAGTATCCCGAACGTTCGAGATAATTTTTTTTTGCATGTCCTTATGTGCCTGTCCCCTTTACTCTAACAAACAAATACGATCATATGGACCATGAACTGACCCTGGTCCATGTTGTTGGATGAAATTCGAAACTCTAATTCACCAAATCGATGTCGAATTGTTCACTGAAGACTGAAGAAGCATGTCAGTTTTCATGTCAATCGGACTTCAATTGACGACGCTAAAGGCTTTTTCGAAGAGCGTCTCCCCAAAAATAAGAACAAAAAAGAGAACCATTTGCAATATACGTGTAATATATCTGCCGTGATACACAAATAAAACGAAACGGAGTTTAACACCCTACTTGTAAAGGCTAATGACGATATAGACATTTTATATCATTAGAAATGCCTATATAGGATAACCATATAAAGTGAAATGAAATAGGGTTTAACGTAGGGTTGAGCGATACACCGCTTTTTCGGATCGTGATAAAATCATCGGCGATTTTATTCTATCGAAAAACCGGTATATCGTGATGACCAAAATTATCGCGATATGATCATTATCATGTCCCAATATTGGTGATAATATATCTATATCAACACCTATGACATTCTGTTGATAGAATGAAAGTCATCAGTAAAATATGGTGGCTGAAAGCGTCCATTTAGATCGGCGTGTTTCTAGATACAACGTGAGAGTCGCCGTTAAGCCAGCAGGACGAAAAAGGCGCCGATCGGCGACTTTTTCGTCGTACTAGCTTAACGGCGACCCGCGACTTTCACAACACGAGACTCGCCGTTAAGCCACGCGACGAAAAAGTCGCCGAAAAAATCATAGTAAAAAATAGCATTATTAAGTACCAGCGGTCTATGGTATATCTCCATCTCTACCGACGTTAGCAACAAAACATTTGACGTCAAGCAACGATTTTCAGCCCAAGTATTCAAAATTTGACTACTGACACACACATATAAATTATCCCGATAATATCGTTTATCATGATATTTGATAAATTATTATCACAAAATTTATTTCGTTATCACCCAACCCTGGTTTAACTGCACCGACAGGGCTAATAAAGACGGGATACCTCATATCGTATGCTATGAGGGAAATTTTGTCCGGACAATGGCGCTACAGCCTACTCTTATATCGAATTCCAACTATCAAGGGATCTTTTACGAGCACGCCAATGTGTACACGCGACCTCAAATTTTTCGTCCCATCTGAACGACTAGACAGCTGTCCTTGTCAACTGTCCTTCCTTAAAATGGGCCATGCCCTGGCTCCCTCGGGGTTTTTCAGTATGCTTTCTCCCTGTCAGTGTTGGCGGACTGAGGGCTTGACAAAAAAAAGGCGTCTAGTTTTTCGTTTTAATACACCACTTCATTTTTTAGATTAATAATTTATCATTATATCCGGTCATTTTGTTTATATATTCTTTTTGTAAAACTGTACTAATACATGTGGTAATAAAGATTGCAAACCTTGAGAAAGAGAGAAATGGGGTTTAACGTCCACTCGACACAAACTAGGTCATTTCGGGACTAACATATGGTTTAATTTTATTCGCTTGCGCATAGGGGTCTTTAGCAGTGGGAGGATACCGGAGGACCCGGAGAAAACCCACGAGGTTGGACACGCGACCCTACTCCTTGTCACGTACAACCGGGGATTCGAAACCACGCCAGTCGACTCAATGACAGACTTTATGATACAGCGCGCGCACGCGAACCATTCAGCCATCCAACCCCCCTAAAGTATAAGGATTACTCTCAACCGAGGTCCCGTGTACAGTTTGGCGTGCACGTAAAAATCTCTCTACTGTTCTGCTTCGACTGGGCTTATGAAGATGGGCATACGCTATACAGTGTGCTATGAGGGAAATTTTGCCCAGACAATGACACTACGGCCTACTCTTAGGGTTCTTTTACATGCATACCAAACGACATCGGCTTTTCGTCCAATCCAAACAACTATACGCGGTCCCTTGCCAGGCCCTCTGTCCTGCCCCAATGCAAGGATCGAACACCCGACCTCTAGGCCACCGTGACTCCCCGTTATGGTGTACAAATGTAAAAATGCATCTCGAAGGTGCACGTTTTATGTTACTTGTGCCAAGCTTTCGAAGTCGATATGCGCACGTTTGGGTTATTTCGTCATTCGCTTTTCTCTGAAAATAAGACACGGGAACGTTGTCTCCCTTTATATATAATATATACATAGCTCTTTGGTTTGTTAGAAATGAAATGAAACGAAATAGGGCTTAAAGTCCTACTTTTCTGCACCAATTTTGTGCGTCAATTTTGTCCGGACATCGGGCTCTATGACCTACTCTTATTTCAAGGGTTCTTTTATGTGCCCACGAACGTGGTACACCTGACCTTGTTTTTGTGTTTCCAGGCCCGTAACTAAGAGGGTGGGGGAAATTCGACCATAAAAACAATAGATATACATTGTCCGTCAATTACAGCACCCTCCGAGAACACTTCCCGCCCCCCTCGTTGCTCTGAGCTATATTACGGCCCTGTGTGTCTCATACTAACGTCTACGTGCTTTTCATTGCCAGGTACCCCGTCCTCCACTACTGACAAGGGGGGACACCGGGATCAAGTTACTTTGATTCTTACTCGTTTGTTAGAAATATTTTAATTTAGGATGTGTTCAAACGTTATAGAATAGAAAAATGAAGTTTCCTGATTCACCCGATAATAGGCGGATCGGGTGCCTGATTTGTCACGGGTATAGCGCACTTTCTTTACAGAGCGGCAACTCAAACATGATGCTCTTTCTCCAGAAACTGGACTTCTCCATTCTTGATGGGGTTTTTTGTATTTAAAATCTTGCTGGATTTCGTGCACGGCGCTGTTATAACCATCTTTTCCGTACAATTAAACATCATCGATGAAGTGTGTTTCTTGTGGTCGTTTACGTATAATAACATCATTGTCGATTCATTGGGGTGGCTCGACTTTATTCTGCACCAACGGGGCTAACGAAGCCGGGAATACACTATAACATGTTTCTGTATTTAATGTTTAGTTTCAAATCAATGTTGGAAAACTGATGAAATCCGTTAAGAATCATAGAAAACCATTGGGTTTTTACTGTTGTATAGTTTTAACTATTCATGACAAAACACAACACAAGGGATGTAACTGTATACTTCTCTATTATTATTAAAATAACGACGTTTCGTAACACATACAGGTCACGTTTTCAAGTTAATGATACTGATTACCTGTTATAATCCTACTAAGGGTCAGTTAGTTTCATTATTACTGTTCGTATTATGTATTGTTAGTTGAGGTACTGCTAATTATGTTAATGGTTTCTTTTGGTTTTTGTAATTAAGCTGGTGTAAGGTTTAATATGTATAAATAGGCTGACTAGATGGATATTTATCATTAACTTGAAAACGTGACCTATATGTTTAACGAAACGTGGTTATTATATAATAGAGAAGTAGTTATATCCATATATACCGTGTGTTGTGTTGTGTTATGAATAGTTAACGGTGTTTCTAGATGTCATTTAAAGATTTGTTAGTTTAAATGGTCTGTCTAGATTAGGTAATGGGTGTTGGGTTTATAACTGTTTCGTTTCGGGGACATCTCACTGTGCCCCCTGCTATTGTTCTCATTGGGGGATTAATCAAGCAATTTAGTCTGTAAATTACTTCACACCTTTTGAGAAACTAAACAGTTCTAAACCCAACATTCATTTATGTAATTTAGACAGACCATTTTAAACTACGGAGCCTGCTTCGGTCCCCAAATTAGTTATAAAAGAATAATTTATGATTTTGTTTATTATGTTGTAGGGCTATATGTTTGTGACAAATAAATAACCAGAATATTCCCCATTTTCACTGTTGATACAAGTGCCCCAGTGACATTTTTAGCCAGGGACCCCCCCCCATGCCAACTTAATCCGGTCACGGGCTCACTAACCATGAGAACCGGGGATCGATCGCGATATTGGCCAACATCGAAAGTTCCCCTGAATTTTCCAACATGGTCTCCTCGTTGTCAGTGGTATGTAGGACACTGGGTCTGGCAAGGAACAGCGCCTAGTCGTTCGGATGGGACGAAAAAAGAGAGATCTGGTATATACCTTGGCGTGCATGTAAGAGAACCCAAAGAATTCAATTGTTGTCAAGGCGTAATTTCCCTCATTGCATGGTGTGGACTATGTCCGTCTTCATTATCCCGATCGGAACAGAAAAGTAGGAGGATTAAAAATAGACAAAATAACGCCTGTAGTGAGATGAGTTTTAAAATATTGCGAAAATGAACGCTGTATTTCGTTTGTCGGGATTTGATCCACGACGTCAAATTTGTAACAACCAATATGGCTGCGCCCTTGAAAACGTGAATTTTATATTTTCATCAGTTTCGGCATGCCATTTAATTCTGACCAAATTATATTTTGTCAGTGCAGCACCATCGAATAAGTAATCCAGGAATGTCAAGTGAGTGTCTAATAAATGACTTATATTCCTGATTATTTGTCCTTGTCGCCCATTTATTTGTGAAAGTAAACGCCGGCCGGTTGGCTTTCATTATTAATATATTTATTACGTGAACTGAATGCCCTGAATGGTTCTTATCCACCCGGGTGATGAATGTCATCATAGACCAATGCATATATATAGTTATTTGACACCCGATTAATCATCCTATTGTTCTTAATGTTAGCCATACAGTTTGGGGAAAAAAAAACACCGACCACGGAGCACGGACGCTACTGCTATTCCGGAATACGGCCGTACTATATTTATAGCATTCCCAGAAAATTAAAATTTTGTGTATGAAAGTACGTAGCTCCAAAATAGCATACACATGCGAAAAATTAGGTTCTAAAGGGTTGGGGTTTAGCCCGGCCTTGGTTAGCAGATAACATCCTCTGCTTTTATTTACTAATGGTTGGGCGATACTTTCATATAAAATGGTTCACTCAAATTATGTCAATTAATAGCTGGGAAAATTTTGATATTTTCCAAAAAATATAAATGACGATAGCTGATTATATTTCTTCTTTACAGATTGAAGGAACATTAGAAGTCAGAACAGGGAATGAATGAAAAGAACTGGACATGAGTCGTTGATCTTAATGGATGTCTGATTACAGATAAAAACACCGATAACATACATTCCGAGGAACTATGAGTCGTCTTGCTTGTATAATGAATGTGAGACTCTGTTTGTCTCCGACATTTCCACTACGTTGTCTACTAGAAGACAATGTCAGGCGTACTAGTTGTATTTTAGAACCAGAACTTACAAGACGGGGAATCAATCAGTTGGCTCAGATGCATCTGATTAAAAGTTTTACTACAACGTCAGTTAGGTTCGATTCGAGAAGGGCAAAAGTAGGTATTTTTTTTAGATAAATATATAATCTATATACTGATGTACAGCCCTAATCTATATACTGATGGGGGATCACGGTGGCTAAGTGCCTAAGATGCTGGCTCGCTAGCCTGGAGGTCGTGTTTTTGATCCCTGCATTGGCTGAGAAAGTTCATCCAGATTTTCCGGCGTGGTTCACCCTTGTAAGTGATACAGGATGGAGAGCCTGACGAGGACAGCTGTCTAGTCGTTCGGATGGGATGATAAACCGAGGTCCTGTGTACACATTGGCATGCACGTAAAAGATCCCTTGTCAGTTGGAATTCGATATAAGAGTAGGCCGTAGTGCCGCTGTCCGGGCAAAATTTCCCTCATAGCACACTGTATGGCGTATGCCCGTCTTCATTAGCCCAGTTCGAAGCAGAACAGTAGAATGTTAAAACCTATTTCATTTCATTTCATTTCTATATACTGATGGGGAACTGCAGTGGCTCAGTAAGATGGTGGCTCTTTAACCTTGAGGTCCTGTGTTCAATCCCTGTGTTGACCGAGAAAGTTCATCCGAATTTTCTGGTGTGGTTCTCCATTGTCATTGGTGCAGAATGGAGGGCCAGACAACGAATAGCACACTGTATGGCGTATGCCAGTCTTCATTAGCCCAGTTCGGAGCAGAACAGTAGGACGTTAAAACCTATTTCATTTCATTTCATTTCTATATACTGATGGGGAACTGCAGTGGCTCAGTAAGATGGTGGCTCTTTAACCTTGAGGTCCTGTGTCAATCCCTGTGTTGACCGAGAAAGTTCATCCGAATTTTCTGGTGTGGTTCTCCATTGTCATTGGTGCAGAATGGAGGGCCAGACAACGAATAGTCGTTCAGATCGGATGAAAAACTGACGTCCAGTGTACACATTGGTGTGCAAGTAAAAGAACCCTTTGCAGTTGGAATTTGATATAAGATTAGGCTATAGTGCTCCTGTCCAGGCAAAATTTTCTCCATAGCACACTGTATGACATATGCCCGTCTTCATTAGCCCAGTCGGTGCAGAACAGTAGGACGTTAAACCCCATTTCATTTCTCTCTCTCAGACACTGTATTTCTTGTGTTTTCAGAAAGATCCGATCCTAAGGCGACCAAAACCAATGAAGATAAACAAATTGGTTTCAATAAAACCTGATATGACGGTGACACAATTAGCGAAAGAATTAGACAGATCAGTGGGTGGGTATTGTTCATTTGATTTAGTCCTTTAGTAGTTTGTAGATATAAATATTCCATACCCTGGTTCCCTAAAACAAATAGAGAAAAAAGGTTGGGTGGCCAATTGGTTTAACGCAGGCACATTAGATCATAAGGTCTGTCAATGGGTTCAAGGGACACAGTTTTGATTCCTCGCTTGTATATGACAAAGAGTAGGGTTGCCTGTCGAACCTTATTGGATTTCTTCACACAGCTAAATGTTGAAATAAAATTCAACAATATGTTAGTCCCGACATGACTTAGGTTGTGTCATTAATTTTGGCTTACTGGAACACAAATTCAGTTTATCTATAGAATATCTATTTATCTATAGAATATCTATTTATTTATCTATAGAATATCTGTGTATCTATAGAATATCTATTTATCTATAGAATATCTATTTATCTATAGAATATCTATTTATCTATAGAATATCTATTTATTTATCTATAGAATATCTATTTATTTATCTATAGAATATCTATTTATTTATCTATAGAATATCTATTTATTTATCTATAGAATATCTATTTATCTATAGAATATCTATTTATTTATCTATAGAATATCTATTTATTTATCTATAGGATATCTATATATTTATATAATATCTATTTATCTATAGAATATCTATTTATCTATAGAATATCTATTTATTTATCTATCTATAGAATATCTATTTATCTATAGAATATCTATTTATCTATAGAATATCTATTTATTTATCTATAGAATATCTATTTATTTATCTATAGAATATCTATTTATCTATAGAATATCTATTTATCTATAGAATATCTAATTGTCTATAGAATATCTATCTATTTACCTATAGAACATCTATCTATTTATCTATAGAATATCTATTTATCTATAGAATATCTATTTATCTATAGAATATCTATCTATCTATAGAATATCTATTTATCTATAGAATATCTATTTATTTATCTATAGAATATCTATTTATCTATAGAATATCTATTTATTTATCGAATGATATGGCAAAAAACACATCATTTTTTCCAGATCAGATATTTGAAGCTTTATCATATGTTAATGGAGGAGACATTTACAGGAAAAAACATTCAGGTACAGATAGTTCAAACACAGATCCTATTTCGTTTTTTTTTTTATAGTTCAAAATTTTGTTTTTCTTGTCTTTATTACTCTATGTAACAGTTGTTATAAAACCTGCGTTCTGGTTGATGTGAGGGGTTAGCCAATGAAATAGTCTGTTGATCCGAGTTGTGTGTAGTCAAGTGTCCTAACATGTGTACTTTAGATCAGAAGGCCTGTCCTTGAGTCAAGTGGTTTGTTTTCGGTCCCAAACGGAGGGCCTGGCAAAGGATAATGTATAGTCCTTTGAATTGGACGAAAAACTGAGGTCCTGTGTACACATTGGCTTGCACGTAAAAGAACCCTTGGCAGTTGGAATTCGATATAAGAGTAGGCTGTATCACTGCTGCCCAGGCAAAGTTTCCCTCATAGCACACTGTATGACGTATGCCCATCTTCCTTAGCCCAGTCGAAGCAGAACAGTAAGATTTTATTTCATAGATAACATTGTCTCTAGTTATAGATAATTTTGATGTAATAAAAGAAGTTGTGAAGAAATGTGGTTTCAGACATAAACTGGTTGAAGCTCAAAAATCTGAGAAAGAAAAAGTTGATATAGTAAGACAGTAAGTAGAATAAAATTGGGTTATACAATGTCAGTTTCGATCCGGATGTTGGTGGAGATAGTTCCTCAAGAATTTACTACCTGTTTAGGAGAAATATCTTTGATCCAGAAATACAAAACGTTGCACATAGTTTTTTATTGATGTATTTGATACATTGAAACAACAAAAGTTTTATAAAGGGCTATATTTTAGTTTAATACCTGTGTTGACTGAGAAAGTTCAACGTCGTGATTTTTTGGCGTGGTTCTCCCTTGTTGGTGTTTCAGGACAGAGGGTCTGGCAAGGGATAACAAATAGTTGTTCTGATGGGATGAAAAAAACGAAGTCCTTTGAATACCTTGGCAAATTCTAATAGCACGATGTACAGCGTATCCCGGTCTTTGTTTGCCTTTTCGGAGTAGGGAAGTAGGATATTTAACTCTGTTTCCTTTTCATTTCTTTTAGACCTCCACCAGATGAATCTGTGCTACAGAAGCGCCCTCCAGTGGTTACCATAATGGGTCATGTTGATCACGGGAAGACAACTCTGTTGGACTATTTACGTAAATCGAAGACTGTTGACAAGGAATTTGGAGGAATAACACAGCACATTGGAGCCTTTTCTGGTAAAACTAAAAATTGAAGTGCATTTATGTTATTTATCAGAAAAAAAATTAAATGTAGTACATGAAATTAGATCTTTATTTGCATACTTCCGCTCATATTTAGGGGAGGTGTGTAGCCGAATGGTTAGCGTGTGCACGTTGTATCATAAGGTCTGTCATTGAGTCAACTGGCATGGTTTTGATTCCCCTGTTGTATGTGACAAGGAGTAGGGTCGCCTGTCCCACCTCTTGGGTTTTCTCCAGGTCCTCCGGTTTCCTCCCACTGCTAAAGACCCCTACACGTAAATGAATTATTGAAATAAAATTGAACCATATGCTAGTCCCAAAATGACCTAGTTTGTGTCGAGTGGACGTAAAACCCCATTTCTCTCTCTCTCACTTCATTTGACCAGTCATTGGTGCTGAAAAAATACGAGGTTAAATCCAATCCCATTCCATTCATTCGTTGCATCTGGGATAACATGTTTAAAAGGCATTTAATGAAAGTGATATGAATAAAAGACAGCTTTGATAATGGTGAGAGGTGAGAGTATCCTCATTGAAATGTTGTAATTAATAAACCCAGTGAATGTTATCCATAAAGCTGTCTGTTATTATCTGGGATAAGTTTTAAAATAGTGTAAAAGTAAACAATGCATTTCATTTGTTGGTATTTGATCATCTAAGTCAATATTTTTATGATATATATAATTTCCTTTTTATCTATTCCTTTTTTCTTCTTTGTTTTTCAATCTATTGTAATTGTTAGCCTTTATTGTAATCGTAATCATAATATTTACTATTACTTACCTTATATAAATATGTATTTGTGCATGCGCAGTGTTCAGGGCGGGAAGAGAACATGGCATCGGCCTCTCTGTATTATTAGTGTTAATAAAAGTTTACCAATCAGTGATTATAGTGTCAACAGTAATATTATGTAATTTATTTGTAACTGGGAGAGGGGGGGGGGGGGTTATATCGGCTTTGGCTGTTCCCCAATCGCCTCAGTTTCTGAATAAATATTGTTTATAAAAAACACAAGTATTACATTTTCAGTACCATTGCCGTCCGGCGAGACGATAACGTTTCTAGATACACCAGGTCATGCTGCGTTTAGTACGATGAGAGCTAGAGGAGCCCAGGTGACAGATATAATAGTATTAGTTGTAGCAGCAGATGATGGCGTCATGGAACAGACGTTAGAATCAATACAACATGCTAAACAAGCTAATGGTAAGCGTTTGTCGTTTAAATTTGCCCCGTGGCTCAGTGAGTAAGTCTCTGGTTCAAGGTCCCGGGTTCGATCCAGGTGTTGGCACGAAAGTTCCTAAGGATTTTCTGCTGTGATTCCCCATTGTCTATGATAAAGGACGGATGCCTAACAGAGACAGAGCCTAGTTGCTAGGATACTGTCTAGGCAAAATTTTCCTCATAGCAAACTGTATGAAATAGCCCATATTTATTAACTGGTAGATACAGAGAAGTAGGACATTAAACCCCATTTCATTTAGTAATTTAAATTTCCTGGGAAGTAAGATCAATGCCTGTGGGTCTGACATGGAAAGTGCTTTTAGATTCGGAAGTCGGAAAAGTTACTTAAGTGGAGTTTCAGAAAGATCACTACGCAATTAGATTTCTGTTACAACACCATTGCTACTGTAACCATTATTATGTCCAAAACATTTTGCTGATGATACCTGTACGATTACCTTCATTTTCAAAATACTTCTGTTCGATCCATGTGTTGGCATAAAAATGGAATGTCTAACAATAAACATGTTGTAAGTTGTAAGTCACAGGTTTCCCTTCATTACCATATTACTTTTATTCCAGTGCCAATAATAGTAGCTGTAAATATTCTATCGGGCAATGTTATTTATTTTTATTTCAGTGCCTATAATAGTAGCTGTAAATAAAATGGATAAACCTGAAGCTGATCTTGTATGTACTTGATTTTATCATTTTGGCTTTTACTCTTTACTTTTCATCTAGCTAGCCTGGAGGTCTCGGGTTTCTCCAAGAGAGTTCATCTGGATTTCCCATGTGGTTTCCCCTTTTCAGTTGTGCAGGACAGAGGGCCTGACAAGGACAGCTGTCTAGTCGTTCGGATGACATCAAAAAACCGAGATCCCATGTACACATTGGCTTGCACGTAAAAGATCCCTTGGCAGTTTGAATTCGATATATAAGAGTAGGCCGTAGAGCCACCGTCCGGGCAAAAATTCCCTCATAGCACACTGTATGGCGTATGCCCATATTCATTAGTCCAGTTGGAGCAAAACAGTAGGACGTGAAACGCCATTTTCTGTCATTTTCATAGTACACATCATTAGCCCAGTCGGAGCAGAACAGTAGGATGTTAAACCACCTTTTATTTAATTTTTCATTTACATTTGATTTGAACATATAAAATACACTTAAAATATATGTTTGAAAATTCAAAAAAGTTTGATTAAAGTTGAACAAGAATCTTGATCACTGTATCACAATATGTATCATGTATTGGATTGCCATATTGACAATATGCATCATATGGAAAATAAATCGTATTGGCACAGCCATTACTCATAGTGTGTTTCCTAGCAACAAGTTTGTTTACATATTGTAGGAGCGTACAAAAAGAATGTTAATGGAACATCAGTTATTAATAGAAGAGTTTGGTGGCGATGTACAAGCAGTTCCAATATCAGCTCTAAAAGTGAGTATAATTTTATGCTTACCGTATCAAGTTGGCTAATGCTGCATGCAGCGCAGGTACTTGACAAAGAGTTTTCTCCGGGTCCTCCGGTTTCCCCCACTGTTATAGACCCCCACGTGCAAGCGAGTTATTGAAAAAAAAAATTCAACCATGTGTTAGTCCGAAATGATCTAGTTTGTGTCGAGTGGATGTTAAACCACATATCTCTCTCTCTCTCTCTCTCTCTCTCTCTCTATGCAGCACAGTTGCAGATGTGGGATATTCGGTTAGGGGGGTGAAGTGATTCGGTATTTCGTAGAGGTTAAAGGTCATCTCAACACGCACTTGAAAGATCCCTACGTGCAAGCGAATTATTGAAATGAAATGGAACCATATGTTAGTCTCAAAATGAGCTAGTTTAAGTGTCCAGTTGACATTCAACCCCATTTTTATCTCTCACCATTCCTATAAAATATTTTGATCTTCACATATATTCTACAGGGAACTAATATTCAAGAATTAAAAGAAGCAATTATTACCCAGTCCGAAATAATGGAGATTAAGGGTGATCCGGTTGGTTTAGTTGAAGGTCGAGTTATTGAATCCAGAACAGATCCTGGTAGAGGGTAATTAATTATTCATCAACATTTTCAATAAAATTTTGATGGCCTTAAAACTATCAATGCGTCCATGGTGGCTAAGTGGGTAAGACGCTGGCTCGCTAGCCTGGAGGTCGGGTGTTCGATCCCTGCATTGGCCGAGAAAGTTCATCCAGATTTTCCGGCGTCGTTCCCCCTTGTCAGTGATGCAAGACTGAGGGTCTGACAAGGACAGCTGTCTAGTCGTTCGGATGAGACAAAAAATCGAGGTCCCGTGTACACATTGGTGTGCATGTAAAAGATCCCTTGACAGTTGGAATTCGATATAAGAGTAGGCCATAGTGCCGCTGCCCGGGCAAAATTTCCCTCATAGCACACTGTATGGCATATGCCCGTCTTCATTAACCCAATTCGGAGCAGAACAGTAGGACGTTCAACCCCATTTCATTTCATTTCACCTTAGCATTTATAGTATTAGTTGTAGTAGCAGATGATGGGGTCATGGTACAGACGCTAGACTCCGATTGACTCCAAGATGGGCGATTATATCTAGCATTGGTATTTTGATATTGTTTTCTTAAAGTAATGATGCACCATTTGAATTTTTCGTTACAATATTAATCACGGCTTAATCCAGGCTAATATGTACTCAGATTGATTATTTAACATTTAATTAAGAAAACAAAATACCAACGCTTGATAATCTCACGGCTTGAATTCAATCGGTTTAAAAAAAACATTTCTGTTCGCTGACCCCAAAATTTCACCAAAACCATTTTTTTTACTAATATTCCTAATAGAGATTCATCTTTCACAATATTGTAGTTTGCATAGATCGATGAAATTTCAATTTATCATAACTTTGTAAATAGTGAACGGAATTGAATCGTTATTGGACTTGCAAGGGATTCATATCGCTTAAAATGACACATCGAATCCATTTGTCAAGGGTAGTGGCTAATTGGTTGACATTGACTGTGTCTAGTTGTTTGGATGGGACAAAAAAAAAAACCAAGGTTCACCCGTGTACACATTCAGGAGCACATAACTCTTGGCAGTTGGAATTCGGTGCCAGGCGCTGCACGCGTGGGCATAATAAAACCTAAAAGACGAGTGGTGGTCTCAAAACCCTACCAAAGTATTATTGACAAGGTATTAAACTCGACTATTTTACACATGACCATAAAAATACCTGAAAGACGTGTGGTGGTCTAAAACTTACCAAAATAATGTTGATGAGACATTGAGCTTGAGTATTTTACATGTGACCATAAAAAAACCTGAAAGACATGAGGTGGTCTCAAAGTTACCACGATAATGTTGATGAGACATTGAACTCTGCTATTTTATATTGTAGAAAACTGGTTACAGCAGTTGTAAAGAGAGGAACTCTAAAAAGAGGTTCAATTATAGTTGCTGGTAAAACATTGGCTAAGGTAAATAAAAAAAAACTTATGTAGTGAAAATCATGTGCTAAGGTGGATGACACAGAAAATCATGAGTTGGATCACACTGAAAATCATGGCCCCTAAGGTGAATCACACTGAAAATCATGGGCTAAGGTAGATCACACTGAAAATCTTGAGCCAAGTTGGATCAAACTGAAAATCTTGAGCTAAAGTGGATCATACATAAAATCATGAGCTATGGTAGATCATACTGGACACTGGCTAGGGTAAAACATGTAGTAAAAGTCGTGCTAAGGTGGATCATGCTGCAAGAGATACAGAATCCTGTTGTCGCCACATAAAGTACCCCTGATCTTGTTGTGTATAACTACATCTCTGTTTCGCTCCAAGTATTTTGGTAATAATATTATTGCCAGAGGTAGTCTTATAAAACATGTGCGCTTTTGATCGAAATATCTGCGCTTGAATCAAGTGGCATGGATTCAATTCCCAGCTTGAACATGAAAAGGAGTATGGTTGCTCACCTTGACTCACTTTAGATCATAAGGTCAGTCATTGAGTCAAGTGGCATGATTTCGATCCCAAGTTTGTATGTGACAAGGGATGGGATTTCCTGCCCAACCTCAAGGGTTTTCTCCGGGTCCTGTGGTTTCCTCCCACAGCTAAAGACCCCTACGCACAAGCGAATTATTAAACATGCATTATGCAAGAGCAAAATCTGCTTATTAGTCTTTCTTTAGGCCTGAAATGTTATCTAAATTATCAATTAGACATTAATTAACTTATCCAGACCATAATAAACTCTCGATGTCAAGGCTAGCCTTCGATGTTGGCTGGATTAGATTCCTATATGCCGCTAATGGCTATTGATAATTAAATCAGAAAAAGTGGATAATTGAGACTATGCTGTTTATATTAATGATTTTAGTAATGATGACCGAGACTATGCAAAAATTTCACCCGCTTCTTTCTCGGCTCATAGTGGATCAATTTGACTGAAATTTTCAGCAAATTACCTTTACACTATCTAGTTTTTAACTATTATAGCGAGAACTGCCATCTCTTTATCTTATCTCCCATAATGTATCTTTAAATTAAAATTGTATCAAATGTTTGGCCCAAAATGACTGTTTGTGTCTAGTGGATGTTAAACCCCATTTGTCACAATATTTTAATTCCATTTGATGTACTCTAGGTACGTGGTATGTTTGGCGATGATGGTAAACCAATAGTGATGGCGCCACCATCAACACCAGTAGAAATATCTGGATGGAAAGAATTACCGTCAGCTGGTGATGAAATTTTAGAAGTTGATTCAGAGGTAAAATAAATTTGTACATGTCGTCTGCTTTGTCTCAGTTGAATTGGGGTTTTGGCGGGACTGAATGGTTTAATGCATGCGCAATAGATCAAAAGGTCTGTCATTGCGTGAAGGGTGTGGTTTTGATTCTCCGCTTGTACGTAACAGCCAGCAGGGTCGCCATTCTAACCTTGTGGTTTTTCACCGGTTTCCCTCGCTGCACGCTAAAGACCCTTATGTGCAAGCGATTTATTGAAATAAAATTGAACCATATGTTAGTCCTGAAATGACCTAGTTTGTGTCGAATGGGCTTTAAACCCCATTTCTCTCTCTCCCTCCTGCTGTGAAAGACCCCGACCCACAAGCAATTATTGAAATAAATTTGAAGCATATGTAAGTCCTGAAAGTCCTAATCCTACAAAAAATGTCAGATTTTAGAAGGCTGCTTTTCTTAAAATATTGAAATTTTGGTGAATGCAGCCCCAGTCAGAATTATATTTATGTATATATATGAGTTTACAAAATTTGAATTAATTTTGTCATGTTTAGAAATTTGCCAAAGAAGTTGTAGATAACAGGTTACACCAGGCATTACAAGATAAAGCGGAGGTAGATCAAATAGCAATAACAGAAAAACGTGCAGAACATAGGAAGGGTTACGAAGCTATGACTGCTGCTAGACTTGAAAGAGGATTTAGATATGGCAGTAATCGGGGAATTAAGAAAGGGAAAGAGACAATAATAACACATGAGGGACCACAATTATCTTTAGTTTTAAAAGGTAAGAGAATTTGAAGTGTTATTGTGAGGCCATGCGAAAAAAATATTCTGGTTTTCAGACAAGCCTTCCAAAAAATCTGATTCAGGTTGTTCTTGGTGTTTTAACGTCCACTTTCACCAAAGGTGATATTACAGACATTTTTATTATCTTGGCGCATGCCCTGGGGTCTTTCCTGTGGGAGGAAACCAGAGTATACGGAGTAAACTCACGAGGTTGAGAAGACACCCCTATCTCCAAGCCACATACACTCACATCAGCCAGAGGTGACCGGCCAGCTAGAGGTCGAAGCGCGGCACTCTAGACCATTAGGCCATCCCGGCCCCCCGATTCATGTTGCAGGAGCGTGGTTTTATAGAACCTCTCTGTCTGACTGTCTACTGACATAAAACATACATGCTGAGACCACAATTATCTTTAGTTTTTAAAATATAACAGAATTGAAGTTTCATTATAAATTGATGGAACTATATTTTAATTGAAATATTTATATATTGTAGGTGATGTAGATGGATCTGTTGAAGCCATCTTGGACACCCTAGTGATGTATAATTCTAAGAAATGTAATCTAGATCTCGTTCATTATGGTGTTGGTAATATTACAGAACAAGATATCAAATTAGCTGAATCATTTGATGGTTAGTTTCCAATCATTTAAAATCTGACAGCAAATAGTGTTTGTTATTGATACTTGATTAGCATCAAGTATTTAATTTCCTGACCACTGTTCAAAAATAAATCATTATACATCATTAGTCAATTGGGTTTTTTATTTTTTAACAGTGATTGAGAAATTAAACACTTGTAAATTGAACACTTATTATCAAAATTAAATGGTCAGCTTTAAGCTGGACAGGAGTACAAATTAAACGATTTATGGTGATTTAAACAGTTTTTACAAATTTTTAAACAAAGATTTGATATTAAACAAATATGAAAGAAATTAGTGCTAGATACACAAAAGTAAATGATACCCGGATTACAGTGTAAACCCCCATTTCATTTCATATCTTTTACAAACAGCATTTGTATTATTTGATTTATTGTAGGTGTGGTTATGGGATTTAATGTGTCCATTCCTAGTACTGTACAGAAAATAGCTGAGTCGTGTAATGTACCTATATCCTTACATCAAGTTATTTATAACTTATTTGATGATCTCTGCTCACAACTTAATGCTAAATTACCCGTTATAGAAGAACAGGAAACAATAGGTTGGTATTCTTATTGATATAAGGAGGGGGTGTGGATGGCCGAATGGTTAGTGCGTGCGCGTTGCATCATTATTATTATTATACATACATTTCTGTAGCGCTACTTCCACAACTGGGTTCAGAAGCGCTTTACAATATGATACTCACAAAGATATGATAAATACAAAAAATAGAAATAACAAAAGTTAAGATCTGTTAAATATAAAATATAAGGTCTGTCATTGAGTCAACTGGCGTGGTTTCGATTCCCCGGTTGTACGTGACAAGGAGTAGGGTCGCATGTCCAACCTCATGGGTTTTCTTCGGGTCCTCCGGTTTCCTCTCACTGTTAAAGACCCCTACGCGCAAGCGAATTATTAAAATAAAATTGAATCACATGTTAGTTCCGAAATGACCTAGTTTGTGTTGAGTGGATGTTAAACCCTATTTCTCTCTCTCTCTCTCTTTATTGATACAATTTGAATTTACGGTTGGGTTGGCTGGCCAAGTGGTTTGAAGCATCCTTTTTTAGATCATCCCTAGATTGTGCAATAAGTAAGCCTTCCAAAATCCAAATGTCTTTGATGTTCTTCAGCTAAAGACCCCTGCACGCATGTAAATTATTGAAATAAATATAACATCTTAGTCTTAAAATGACCTAGCTTTTGTCACATGGAAGTTAAACCCCATGTCCCTCTGTCTCTCACTGTAATTTGACTGTACATGAAGTGACATTCAGAGTTGAGAAAATTACTGTGGAGTTCCTCAGGGTTCTGTGCTTGGACCAGTTAGTTCTTCCTGCACACAGCCACAGTGTCTGACAAAGTCCGACATTGTGTGTCCTGTGGATGCTTTACTTCAGTAATTTGCTCTACTCATTTATTATGCAGTTATTTCTTGACTTAACATACATCTTTGTGGCTCATTAACATGTTTCATCATGGTGTTGTAAAGTTCATTGCGATTTTCCTGCGTGGTCCCCCCTTGACAGTGGTGCACGACTGAGGGCCTGGCAAGGGACAATGTATAGTCCGAGATCCTGTGTAGACATTGACATGCACTTACAAGACCCCTTACCAGTTGGAATTTAATATAAGAGTAGACCGTAGTGCCGCTGTCCGGGCAAAATTTCCCTAATGTCGTACTGTATGGCTTATGCCTGTCTTCATTAGCCCAGTCGGAGCAGAACAGTAGAACGTTACACCCCATTTCATTTTATTTTTCCAATGCTTTTATTTCATTGTCACAGATAATCATGTAACAGTGCCCTAATTTATTCCATTTTTCAGGCGAGGCCAAAGTTTTACAATTGTTTAAATTAAGCAAGAAGAAAAAAGAAATCATTGTGGCAGGTTGCAGATGTACGAAAGGGTTATTACATAGGAAGAAAAATTTTAAAGTTATTAGAAATGATGAAGTTGTGTATGAAGGTATGGTATAGCCTGTTAAAATCTCACGGACAATATTGGTGTCAGCCATTATCACATAGCGCTCTTGAGCAACCAGTTTGTTGGATATTCAGCGCTTTATAAATAGATTATTATATTATATATTATATATATATGTGATAGAACTGCTTAAACACGTTCAAAATATAATTTAAACATTGCTACGACAGATGCGTATTGAAGATTTGTAGTAACGGAAGTGACGAAAGCAAAAGGAAACATGTGTTAACCTTCTATATAACTGACTGAAGTAACGAGCGAGAACGAGAATACACAGGCAAATTTCTGGCGTGGTTTTGATTCCCTGCTTGTACGTGACAAGGAGTAGGGTGTCTGTCAAAACTCGTTGGTTTTCTCTGCATTCTCCAGTTTCCTCCCACTACTTAAGACCCCAGCACAGAATTGAATTGTTGAAATAAAATTGAACCATATGTTAGTCCCGAAATTACCTAGTTTGTGTCGAGTGGATGTTAAACCCCATTTCATTTTCTATTGCGCTAAAATGCTGCAATAGACTTTATAAACATATTTTTGAAAAATAACCGGTATATTGTCTTGTTACTTTGATTTATTTATTTATTTTTCAGGTTCCATAAATTCTCTAAAACATTTAAAGAACGAAGTCGAGACGATAAAAATGGATGTAGAATGTGGTTTAAGTTTATCAGACTCTAGTTTTATATTTGAAGAAGGCGACATTATCCAGTGTTTCGATTCAAAACAAGTCACACAAGTTATTGACTGGAATCCAGGCTTTTGATAGTGATTTATTTTAAGAAAGTAATTATGAAAAGTTCTAGTGTGATCAACATGTTTTAAATTACAGACTTGTGTTATTCAGAAAAACAATGATTGACTCTTCAGGGACTCCTACAAATGAGGACTTAAAAATCAGAAATATGAATTTAGATTTTAAAATGCAAGTCTCCATTCTAAAGTTGGATCTACCACTTTGACATTAAAAATCAATATATGCAAGTCTTGATTCTAGAGTTGGATCTCTTTGATCAGAACCACACAGATCAACGTATCGTCGGTGAAGTGTCAAAAGGGTGTATTTAAGAATTTCTAAAGATTAAGAAATCGAACCTTTTGCATTTCAAAATTTCCACAAATCAAGATACAACATTTGGACACATGATACCCAGAACAGTTATAATTGGCTTAGTGATACAAGACAGAAATGTGCATATTAATTGGGAGATTTTAAAAATGCAAAAAAATGTATTTGACTAATTTCCCGAGATACACCCTTTTGACACTTCACTGACAATATGCAAGGCTTGATTGTAAAGTTATATCTACCAGTACCAATCTGATGTATAGCAATGTAAACCGGGTATCATTTAATCTTGCATATTAAGCTCTTGTTGATTTGACATTCATTTAATATAAAATCTTTGTTTAAAAATTGGTTTGGGTGAGCTTAGACATTTTTACGAATTTTCAAATGAAAGTAGGTACCCAGGTTACAGTGCAAATTTTAAACGAAAGATGGTACCCAGGTTACAGTGCAAATTTAATGGTACCCAGGTTACAGTGCAAATCTAATGGTATCCAGATTACAGTGTAGATTTAATGGTACCCAGGTTACAGTGTAGATTTAATGGTACCTGGGTTACAGTGTAAATTTAATGGTACCCGGGTTACAGTGTGAATTAATGGTACCGGGGTTACAGTGTAAATTAATGGTACCCGGATTACAGTGTAGAATTAATGGTACCCGGATTACAGTGTAGATTTAATGATACCCAGGTTGCAGTGTAGATTTAATGATACCCGGGTTACAGTGTAGATTTAACGGTACTCGAGTTACAGTGTAGATTTAATGATACCCAGATTACAGTGTAGATTTAATGGTACCCAGATTACAGTGTAGATTTATTGTAATTTATTGCCTTACAAGAACTGTGATAGTAATACATTATTAGTGCTAGTCTCAGATTTTTATGTGAAGGTTTTGTTGTTGATAATTTGTTTTGCATGAAAAGGAAAGAACATCCAGGTCTTCCACAGGTCTATGAATCAGAAACATTGTTTGCATTGTTTTAAATAAAACTCGGAAACCACAAAAATATATAAACAATGTCTACAGAACAGTACAAAATCCATCCTGTCCCTCTGCTGTGAGATGGCCTGTCAAACCTCGTGGGTCCTCCGGTTTCCTTCCACTGCTAAAGACCCCTTATTGATATGAAATTGAACCATATGTTAGTCCCAAAATGACCTAGTTTGTGTCGAGTGGACCTTAAGTCCCATTTGTCTCTCTCTCTCTCTCTCTGTAGTGAGGTAACTCATGGGTCTAATTCATACTTAATGCTACCTAAAGAATTTTAATGTGTAGTAAGTTTCTAGGAAGGATATTACCTTATCTGTAACTGTTAAATCTGGGCTCCAGTTTAAGTCAGTCTTCTTTAACAGCTTGGTAACTTGTATTTAACTTATATACACATTACGTGACAAGGAGTAGGGTCATGGGTTTTCTCCAGGTCCTCCGGTTTCCTACCACTGCTAAAGACCTCTATGCGTAAGCAAATTATTGAAATAAAATTGAACCATGTGTTTGTCCCGAAATTACCTAGTTTGTGTTGAGTGGACGTTAAACCCAATCTCTCTCGCTCTAATTCAACAAGATGACATTCTTTTCTATCTCTCTCCATATACACATATTTTCACCGGCAAAAAAGTTGGTCTTATCAAAAGTAATGGGACTGTTTCTATGTCACCAGCAAAAATGCGTACATTCAAAATGGGCTCAAGACATTTTAGCTGACACTGGCCCAATAAGAAAGTAGCAGGATTCTCTTCAGACAAATTCTAAGTAATAGCCGAGGGGTTGGGAGGTGGGATTTACTAGTGACAAATGTCAAGGAATGGGTGGCAACAGCCAAGAGGGCTTCCACTTCAAAATTTTCCCAGCCGGTCATTTGTCACGTAGAGAAAGTGGTGTTATTTTTAGCAAATAAAAAGCCACAAAACTGTGGCAAGTTGTGAAATCATGGAAGCGTAACCAGTTTTTTTATAAAATTAACCCACTCAACTTTTACACAGTATTATAAGGTTTGTCACTTAGTGATTAGATTTTTTTAGATTTTTTCCTGTACCACTCTGACCTTATCACTGAGATCCAAGCGCTTACATGCACTGTGCTTTGAGATTCTTCCGCCCTTGAACAACATTCAGTGAAAGGAATTTTTTTAAGTCGCTACCTTGGTCAGCTACATGTGTCACTCACAATAATACCTAGATGGTACAGAAAAAGAAAATGGTGGTGAGTTTGGTGTTGTAATATCGGTGATAATAAGATGCATAGGCGTACGGGGAAATTTTTGACTGGGGGGGGCGGTGGTGGTTGGTGCCCAAAAAATGTAGTTGGGTTCTTAGTATGTTACATAATAATAATAAATTCGCTGTTAAATTGGACACATTCAAGAGCGCAATATTTTTTTTATACAACTTTTACAAAGTACAATTGTGTGCCCAAATTTTCCCATCATTTGGTGCCCAAAATGGGGGGGCGGCGTACGCCTATGATTAGATGCAAAAGTAATTTTTTTAAAAAAAGTAAAAATAGAACAAATTATAAGAAATGTTATTGTAGATTTGTGTGTTTGCAATATTTAGGAAAAATGTAGTACAGAAATATGCCCACACAACAGTTGTGTCTTTAAAAAAGTATAAGCACAGGCAGCGGCTTACTTACTCGAAAGGAAAACTTAGATGTTGAGCAAATTTGATAAGGATCAAGGATCCTTCAAGAAATCTAATCTTTTAAAGATTTCAAAAGCTCTTCCCCTCTATCATGCTAATAAGGAGATTTTCGGAAAAGTGTTTGTGGCTGTGAAGGAATAACCTTTGTTAAGACTTAAAAACCTTCATGAAGATTAAAAAAGAAATGAAATGGGGTTAACGTCCTACTGTTTTGCTCCGACTTGGGCTACACCATACATGCAATGAAGGAAATATTTTGCCAGATGACGGTGCTACAGCCTACTCATATATCCAATTCAAACTGCCATGGGTTCTTTTCTGTGCATGCCACTACTGGACCTCATTTTTTTGGTACCATCCAGACGACTATTCATTGTCCCTTGTCAGGCCCTCTGTCCTGCATCACTGACACGGGTGACCCATGCTGAAAATCCTGATGAACTAATTGAATACAGGACCTGCAGGTTAGCGAGCCAAGGTCTTACCCACTGAGCCTCCACTGCTCCTCATGAAGATTGAAGATAATAAAATGTGATTAGGATTGGTAAAACAGCACTAGGGTATTGGAAAGCTAGCAGTGGGCTAACCTAATAACTATCCTCAGTCTTTAACCATAATCGTAACCCATCTTTAAGTGCAAGGGGCTGATATTTGGCATCTGGTATGCATAAAGACCACTTCTGTATATTTCTATGCAATAGATACTATTTCTATGTCATGATTAGGCCCATATTTATAAGGTCTTCACTCAGTAAAACATGAATGGTTATAAAATGCAGCAGGCCTAAGGTTTTTTTGTTTTGGAATGGAGAAAAAATTAATGTTCAAAACAGCTGTGTAAAACATTAATCTGGTTCTTGAAACCTTCTAAATAGGGATTATTGATATAAGTAGGCCTAGGCCTACGTGGAAATTATCGGCCTAACCCCAAAAACACAAAATGAAGTCGCATGTATGTTGGCACAAAAACCCATATAGTTTTGGCCATTCATCTAATAATAATAGGCCTACTTCATTATATTTTAGTGAATACAAATATAGTTATGTAAGTGGAACATTTAATCACCGTACTGAAAGCATAGAGAAATATTAATAAGTTCATAGAAATACATATATTTCTATGAATAAGTTGTCTTTCTTTCTTTCTATGGCCAGGCATTGATCCGAATGAACAATAAATGGGAGACAATTCTTAATTATCTCCCCTTGTTTGCTACGGTATCCACTTGCAATGACGTCAAACGTTCCTTCCGTTTTTCAGATGTGAAATTTTCAACTTACAAGTCACAAACGACTAAAATGGAAATCAGATATCTGTTTTACTTTGAACAATAACATTCTAATTACTAAAGACGCCAAAGGCCGATGCATAATTTGGCTTCGTTTTTTTTTCTCAAGCAAATTGATCAGTACTGCAGTAGGCCTAGGCCTAAAACTTAAACAGTCAAAACTCAGATAACCGGGCGTCACAAGTTCTCACGTTTTTATTTTTTTTTTGTTATTTCTTTCATTTGACTGACGTTGCAAGTTGACAAGAGCATGCCAATGATATTAGATGGTTGTTACTGTTAGTGTATAAAGATAATGGAAGGTTGTAGTTCGTTATGTAAATGCTACAGTCTGTTTTTATTGGTTATATTCATCACACAGATCAAGATCTGTCATGGAGAAGGTAGGTACCTAGGCCTTTTTTTGAGTGTTGACGTTGACGTTAAATGACGATCAAAATTGATATAGGAATAGGATAACGATCAGTTATAGGCCTATTCTTTCATTATTTATCTAGAAATAGATAGACCTAACCTAGTTCCAGAGACTTTAGTTACTTTTTTAGTACGGTAGGCCCTAACGGATTCTGTAGGCCTAGTACATAGGGGCCAGAGCCGATAAGAATCCGTTACTATAAAAGTAACTACAGACAAAGTACAGATACTTTAGAGTTGGGATAACCTGCAGGCTGCAGTTTGGCTACTTTTTATTCATTTCAGATGGGCCAATGACGATTATACTTTCGGTTCTTTTTGAGAGAGGAAAAGTAGCATAATTTAAATTGGTTGTAACCAAACATCCCCAAAACAATGGCAGGCCTTCACGTGAATAAATTCCTGGGGAGTCAAAAAAAGCTCTCCTGAAATTGAAAAAAGAGGAAATCGCTCTCCTGAGAAAGCTCTCCTGAATCTCTTGAGGAGAGCTTTGTTAGCATTTGTGATAAAGTCCAGAGATTTTAATCTATTTCGAAACCAACCGGCCAGAATTGGGTCAAGTGAGGTCCCGGTAAGAAACAGGGTAATTCGAAGCTCCCGTTAACTTTAATATCTGACTTCAACAAGTTCAAGTCAGTAATATTCCTGAATAGACTACTGTCTTCGTTTATCATCAGTCGATCGAAATTAGGATTTATCTACTACGGCGAAAATAAGCTGATGCGACAGTATGACATTTCTTCATATTTAAAACACAAATTAATGTTTTTGTCTATCACGTAACTTACAATATTTTTTTCATTCGTGGATGAAAGACAAGCCACACAATGATCACATGACTCCCATGATTGAAATTGCTTTATATAAAATAAAATTCCGTACGACTATGCCATGGCCTTAAATAAAAAGGGCAATATTTTTAAGAATAAATCCCTGTCAGCATGTGTAAAAAATAAAATTGAATAAAACTAAAACACTATTTAAAAATAAATCTTGCAATGCTGGTTTATTGACCTAATTCCAACCAATGCATGTCACGTGTTATCGGGAATCTGAAAGCATTGAAGATCTTGACGGAAAAATATATTAGTTATTAATATTTGTTTCTCGGGATATCCGGTGTTCTATCAGGGATTATTCAATGAATATTTAAATTTAACTAACAACGGGTCAGTGAAACCATAAAATGCATTATCCAATTATTATTTTCATATCTACCTAGAATTCGTACGGATCGAGAGTCGAAGACGGGGCGCGAAGCACGAGATTCACAATCCATGCGGAGCGAGATGTCTTCCTTCGCCACGTGGTTTATTATTACAAAGGAAACTTAGTGGACCTGTTATGAATAACCAGCAGGCTTGTTGGGGTTATTTTTGCCGAATTATCAAAATTACCGTTAAATGTGCTAATTACTCGGATTATGAAACGGATGGCGGATTCTCACTAAGGTATGCTGTTATTGTAGCCGACAAGCAAGTTGATTGTCGATATGATATTACCAGTATATTTTTCCTGATTATTTTCTTTGAGGGGAGTCAAATTAGACATTGAGGAGAGCTATAAAAAGCGCACCTCGACTGACATCCAGGCGCGTCCAGGAGAGCGAGAGCGATCATGCTCCTTTTACGTGAAGGCCTGCAATGGATAGGCCCTACCTACCAATTTGAATCGGAATAAGATTCATTAAGATACTGTTTCAGTGTTGAAAAACAGGATTGAGAATTTTATACCTTTCGGACGCGTTGACCTCCCTAGTGCTTCTGATTCCTGAAAACGTGCTGAAAATAAAATGACTTTTTATTTTTTGATTTATTTCTTAGGACTCATGGATGTGGCACAGTTTGTTGTAAAACGAGAAGGACAGAATACCAGTGATTGTGAAATCGCTTGTCAAAAAGAGGCTTTATTGAAATGCCATTATTTCCTGTTCCTTGAAGCTGAAAAAACATGTCTTCTTTCATCAACAGATCATCCTGATGTTGCTAATCAAGCTAAAAATATAGGTAGCCCATCTTCACATAAAAATTATATCTTTATTTGTCTGATCTTTTTACTCTATATATACCGTAAGCTTATACGATCTACACATATTCAGAGTGATATTGATTTGGAAATGACAGAATAACTGACAGGTTTGCAGTCAGAGCCCTTAAAAAGGTATAATGAAACAGTTTTTAATTAAAGGACTTATAGAACTCTGAAGATTGTGATGAAAAATTAGAGTATACAGAATAACAACACAAAAAATAATTTCTTTGTCATTGTTTTTTTTATCCAGGATATACTCCAAATAATACATTTTGTTGGGAACTTTTTAGATTCTCAGCCCTGCTCTACACACACTACTGTAGAAACTGCTGGCACCACCAGTACTAAGTACTAGCCCAGGCCCGGCGGAGTGGGGGGGGGGGCTAGTACTCTTTTCTCCAGGTTATTGCGGCCCCTGGACCAACGCCTATATAAGGACCTAGGATGGAAGCCCCCCCAATCAAGAATTGCTTCCGCCGGCCCTGTAGCCTTATTAGCTTTTATATACAGTGCATGAGCCTAAAGCAGTGGACACATTAGCCGAATCGTTCGGCCGAACCAATGGGCGCCGAATTTCATTCGGCCGAATGGGTGGACACACTAGCCGAATGCTTCGCCCGATTCAACGTGACTTCTCGATATGAGTGGTGATTGGCTAATGAATTCTATATTCGGCCGAATGCTTCGGCGAAGCGGACACACCAGGCGAATATAATTCGGCCGAATATACCTGTCGATTGCATCACCTTTCACGTCACATGATTAAACATGGCGGCGTCTATGTCTTCAATCTATCACGTGACTTCTCGAAATGAGTGGTGATTGGCTAATGAATTCTATATTCGGCCGAATGCTTCGGCGAAGCGGACACACCAGGCGAATATAATTCAGCCGAATATATCAAACCTGTTTGATTCGGGCGAATCATTCGGCCGAATGACAGTGGACACACTAGGCGAATTTCGACGCCGATTGATTCGGCCGAATCATTCGGCTAGTGTGTCCACCGCTTAACATCAGGATCTGAGAATATTTATCATTTTAGGTCTTGATCCAGCTAAAGTTGAAAAATTTATGAAAGAAAGAAGGAAACTGGTGAAAACTAAAATAAATGAAATTCATGAGCTGAAGAAGAGATTAAATGACCTCAATTCAAGAGTTGACAGTTTTCAGGTTTTGTACAAAGTTTATAAAGCTGGCTCACATTAGTAGATTAATGTTTTTTCTCTATGCATGAGCGCTTTAGATCGTGTCTGTCATTGTGCGTAGTACAGTGAGTAGTTGTCTGTTTTCGATGGCAAGCTTGTATAAGACAAGGAGTATGTTTGCTGCCCAATCTCGTGGTTTTTATCCCTGTCCCGCAGTGTCCTCTTTGAGCTAATGATCCCTACACACAAGTAAATTATGTCCTGAAAATAAAATGACATTTTATTGTTTACTAGTCCCATTGATATTCCAAGAAGTTGTTTTTCCTTATAAATGCTTTCCAAACAAACGCAAGGGCGCGGGATGATGATGATTAGTCATCTTGTTCAATTAGAGAGAGAGAGATTGGGTTTAACAACCACTTGACACAAACTAGGTCATTTCGGGACTAACATATGGTTTAATTTTTTATTTCAATAATTCGCTTGCGCGTAGGGGTCTTAGGCAGTGGGAGGAAACCGGAGGAACCGGGGAAAACCCACGAAGTTGGACAGGCGAACCTACTCCTTGTCACGTACAACCGGGGATTTGAAACCACGCCAGTTGACTCAATGACAGGCCTTACGATACAGCGCACACATGCTAGCCATTCGACCATCCAACCCCCCCCCCTTGTAAAATTAAATATGTATTATTATATAAGTCCTGAAATTACCTACATTGTATTGAGTGGGAATTAGTCCCCTTTTCCCCCTTCTCTCTCTTGGTTTCATTTTTGTATAGAAGTTTTGTATTATGTCCCCTTTTAAAACAAGAAAACCATACAACAGTATTCAAATTATCCATTACTGTACTAATAATTGTTTTAACGTTTGGCTTGCCTTTATATAAAATGACAAAATTATATTACATGGCATGTCATTTATTGTCACAAGCCTGGAAATAAGGCACCTGTCAGTGTCACAGACAAGGTCAGGCACAGATTCAGGCTTTGTCAGCCACAAAGCCTCGGGTGCCTGTCATTTTGTCCAACACTGATTTGTCTTTTTTATTAAACATACATTATGCAAGAGCAAATTCTGCTTATTACAAGTCTTTCTTTAGGCCTGAAATGTTATCTAAATTATCAATTAGACATTAATTAACTTATCCAGACCATAATAAACTCTCGATGTCAAGGCTAGCCTTCGATGTTGGCTGGATTAGATAGATATATTCCGCTTAACGGCCATTGATAATTAAATCAAAACAGTCGATAATCGAGACTATGCTGTTTATATTAATGATTTTAGTAATGATGACCGAGACTATGCGAAAATTTCACCCGCTTCGTTCCTGGCTCATAGTGGATCAATTTGACTGAAATTTTTAGCAAATTACCTTTACACTATCTAGTTTTTAACTATTATAGCGAGAACTGCCATCTCTTTATCTTATCTCCCATAATGTATCTTTAATATTATTAATACATGTCCAGCACTAAGTTAAAGAATGTCAGGTAGTATTTCATTAATGCCTGACATTTTGTCAGGTACATCTAAAACCGTTATTTCCAGGCCTATTTATTGATTGTTTCCATTTATTACTTGTAGACTTTGAAGAAACAAATGGGAAAGTTATTGATGAAAATTGAAATGAAACATACTGATCAAGGAAAAGAAGATTCCGCAGTTTCAGAGAGAGCAATTAGTAAACTGAATTTTAAAATGGTAAAAATAGGAAAGTTGGCATCCCTGTTACAGGCCGAAATTTCTAATATGGTGCATAAACGCCAATCAGCAGCCCAGGAGTTACGCTCGTTACGCCTGAAGAACAGAAAATCTGACTTGCTGTTAGAACATGCTTTGGATAATATCGATAGATTAGAGGTTTATATTGGAGCGTTAAAAAAAGAGGACGATGAAAATAAAAATGAGGTAGAAGCTTTGAGAGGTAAAAATGAACAGATCAATGAATGGATGAAAAAATTGAAGAGAAAGGTGGATGCAACACATGCAGAATTAAGGGTAATTGAATGAATTCTCTTTATCATAAGGGTGTTGATGGATGTCGCGCTGTATCATAAGGTCTGTCATTGAGTCAAGTGGCGTGGTTTTGATTTCTTGGTTGTACGTGACGAGGAGTAGGGTTGCCTGTCCAACCTCTTGTGTTTTCTCCGTGTCATCCGGTTTCCTCCCACCACTAAAGACCTATATGCACACTCTAATTGTTGAAATATATTTGAACCACATGTTAGTCCCGAAATGACCTAGTTTGTCTCAAGTGGATGTTAAATCCGATTTCTCTCTGTCTCTCTCTTTGATTTGGGGAAGGGGGTGGGTGTGTGTGTGTGAATTAAGCCGTGGGCTGTAGGTAAGGGTCAGGAGACAAATATATCAAAAAACCCCGATTTGGGAGAATAAACCAAATAGTGACTATCGCTGTTTTTTTTTTAATATATGAATATTGAATTAATCCTTTAGAGGAGCCATATGTGGCCGAATCGGCGAATGGTTTAATGTTTGCGGGTTCAATCGTGATAAGGAGTGGGATCGCCTGTCCAGCCTCGTGAGTTTTCACCGGGTCCTCCAGTTTCCTCCCACATCTAAAAACCCCTATGCGCAAGCAAATTATTGTAATAAAAATGAACAATATGTTAGTCCTGAAATGACCTAGTTTATGTGGAGTGGAGGTAAAACCCCACCTCCTCTCTCTTACTCACTCTCTCTCTCTCTCCTTTAGCCATTTAGAACAAAACGAAAATAGAACAATTATATGGGAAAAAATGACTGGTTTATTATACACAAGCACCACGTTTCAATAAGTATCCTCTTATCATTATCAAGACAATTTTCAAAACATTGTGCTTGTGTATCAAAACATTGTGCTTGTGTATCACAACTTTGTGTTTGTGTATAATAAACCAGTGATTGTTTTCCCATATAACTTTGTTGGTTTTGTTTTTTATTGATATTACTGGTTTTAATTTAAGTACTGTAAATTGGAATTTTATTCTTTTTAAAGATCGTGTTTGAATTTGACCCCTAATGATTATAAACTGGCATTGGCCAAGAAAGTTCATCAGAATTTTCCGAAGTGGTTTTCCCTTGTCCGTGGTGCATGAAAGTGGGGCCTGACAAGGACAGCTGTCTATTCGTTCGGATGTGTATACATTAGAGTGCACGTAAAAGATCTCTTGACAGTTGGAATCTCATAGCACACTGTATGGTGTATGCCTGTCTTTATTTGTCCAGTCGGAGCAGAACAGTAGGACGTAAAACCCCATTTCATTTCGATTATAAACTGTTATGTGGAAGAGATGAAAGTGCAATGATTTACCAAATTATGATTCTTATGCATTTTGCTACTTCTCAAATTTAATAATTTTTGTATTTCCATGGAAACAAATTTGATTTATAAGGGATGTTGATATAAATGAAAATATTATTATTTTCTGATATTAGAACAGTCCTATAGTAGTGAAAATACTACATAATCAGAAGGTGTTGGCTGAAACATTGGACAATATGGAAGGAAAAGTGACAACCTTTGATAATAAACAGATTAAATCAGACGAAACTTACGATGAGTTGAGGGGAAGGGTTATCGGTGATGAAGCAGATAGAAGATCATTAGAAAATAGTTTGATATCCATGAAAAAAACATTGAAAGGTTTACAAGATGATTTCAAAAGAATGCAGAATCCCCAGGTAATGTATATTCCTGAAGCAATGGCCCGAGAAATCCTCGGCTTTTTGATAAATTATTCAAGTGTCCAGATAATACTGACTATAAATCATACGAGATAGTTTTAACTCTTCTATTTCCGGTTAAAAACAACCTGTGTGCTTTAAAATAAACATAGGTTTGGATTTGACAGGCAGGCGGGTTGGGTGTCCATCATATTCCTGAAGCAATGGCCCGAGGAATCCCTCTCTGGCCATTGCTGGATTGGCTTCTGATACTTGAGCTTTTGGGGGAGTGTGTCTATTCTTCCCATTCAATCAAATCTATCCCAAGTTCAGCAAAATGACAGCCCTTCGTTTAATCTGGTGTCTTCCCTAAAACTTTGGACAGTGATTTTAAGGTATTAAAAAGAGTGAAAGTATTGTTCGTCTCCAAACAGTATTGTTTACATTGTAGCCGTTTTATATAGCCTCGTTTGTCACGCAATTAGTTTTTCTGCAATATTCTGCTATTCACTGGTTAATTGGGTATAATAAATTTTGTGAGTCATGACATAACAATATGTAAACATATTTAGAGCTCTGTTTAAACCCGAAAGATATTGTTACACAGTTAGGTATTGGTTGTTAAACGGACTATTGACCAGTCATAATTTGGAACAGAAATTTGCTTTCATTTCGGGCATTACGGCAGTGTTGAGTGGGATTAGGGCACAATACTAGAAGGTCTTGGCCAATCTGGAAAATATATTTCTAGGGTTAGGGTTAGATTTACAATTTACATGTCAAACGTACAAATTGAAGCTGTAAAAACGGTGGATTGTGCGTAAAACTATGTGAGTATATACAGGGAAAGATATTTTCCAGATCGTCCGAGATCCAGTATCGTGCGGGATTAGGTCTAATCAAATGAAATACTGTGAGGAGTATGCAGGGAATGATGAATATACATTACAAGAAGAAATTTATGTAAGTGTCGGGCCTGGAAATAAATGATTGTAGTTGTACCTGACAAAATGTCCGACACTAATGAACTATTACTTGATATTTATGAATTTTCTGCAAGACATGCAAGACAGGTATTATTGATATCATTAAACATACATTATGCAAGAGCTAAATCTGCCTATTGCAGGTCTTTCTTTAGGCATGAAAAGTTATCTCAATTATTAATTAGACGTTTATTAACTTATCCAGACCATAATCAACTCTCGATGGCATCAGATTTCTCCGATATTAAATAGATTAGAACAGTTCAGCCATATTTTGATTTAAGCTAATAATGGAGGAGCGAGACTTAGCTTCGAACAACCAGTACGGTGATTGAAATTATTGCACACGTCTTGTCAAACCTTTAAAGACTAATATCTTCGCTCGCAATAGAGTAATTTGAATGAAATTTTCAAATTATTCATTTTACATTATCTATTTTGGAAGTAATAGAAAGAATGGCTAGCTCTTTATCTAAATCTTACATAATATATCTTTAAGAACACTGATAAAAAGAAAAATGGGGGGTCATTCCTGATGAGCCTGAATTTGTGCCGGACATTGTCTGTGACAGGTGCTTTATTACCAGGCTTGACGAAATTGAAATTTAGTTTCATAAAGTAGCTAAAAATGTAACTCAATATCATTCAAAACTGAAGATCCACTCAGAAAATTGAGATGCACGTAAAAGAAAGTTGAAATTCTATGACCGTGCAGAAATGATGCTGTGCAAGACAGCAGCTTATTCGAAAAGAAAACTAAGATGTTGACCAAATTTGATATGGATACCTTCAAGAAATGATCACAAGCTTAAAAGCACACTGATCCGCAGTGAATATTTGCTAGGCCCCGACAATCACTGATAAGGATGACATCGATGCGGCTTAATGAGCCAGTAATATTAACTTTTTTCCTGCGACAAATTAAATTCTAAAACATTTTTTTTATGTAATGGAAAAATAAATAAAGGCGCTTGACGTATTTGTAGGTAAAAATTATTTCCTATTTAGTGTAAATGGGTATTAAAATGACTAAAATGCAGCATTCTCTCCGAAGCAGTAACATCTATGTAAACAATGCATGCGCCATTCAGCTAATGATTGACGCCGCGTGCTGTGAAAGCACGTGTTAAGGCAGTCATCTTTGACAGAGATATATTACTAGACTCGTAATTCTCTGTGAAACAGATTGGCTTAAAAGCTGTAGCCTCTATGTATTCATAAGGTGTAAGGGGGTGTGTAACTCAGGAACAGAAGATTTTATGACCTCAATGCTTCACACCACATTTGATAAAAATTATTGACAGCATAATACCACCACTCTGAAATCTCGGAGTATAAAAAGAAATTAAATCAGAATCAATTAACCAGAGATGGGATTACGCCCATATATTCCGGACATGTCCGACGCTATTTTCCAAACGCCCGAAATTGAATGAACCCTATCTTGTTATTTCAGTCATCAGCCAACATGGAACGTCTGAGAACTCTAACAAATTTAAAGAATGAGGTTTCGTTATTAAAGAGATCGAACGAGGAAGTGTACAAAAATCTCAAACTAACTCGAAGTGATTTGATGGATTTAGTTAAAGATGTAGTCAATACTAAATTAGACGGACAGACAAATCGTGCTGGAGTAACAGCTGTTGCCATGGCACACAGACATACACAACAAGTTTTCGATGAGATGTCAAAAGAACAGGTTAGATTTGTAAAAAATGTTTTACTAATGACTACGAATGGTTAGCGGGGTGTGCGCTGTATCATAAGGTCTGTCATTGAGTCAACTGGCATTTTGATTCCCCGGTTGTATGTGACAAGGAGTAGTGTCGCCTGTCCAACCTCATGGGTTTACTTTTGGTCCTCTGGTTCCCGCCCACTGCTAAAGACCCCTATGCACAAGCAAAGTATTGAAATAAAGTTGAACCATCTGTTAGTCCCGAAATGACCTAGTTTGTGACGAGTGGACATTAAACCCCATTTCTCTCTCTCCCCCACCCCCCTTTAAAAAATCTTGATCATTCAACAAAGCATATTATTAACACACTCAATCTAATTACAGTTTTTTTTTGGTGGGGGGGGGAGGGGTGGTGGATGGCTGAATGGTTAGCACATGCATGCTGTATCATAAAGGCCTATCATTGATCAACTGGCGTGGTTTTGAATCCCCAGTTGTACGTGACAAGGAGTAGGGTCGCCTGATCTTTGTCATTCAGAGCACATTATCAATATTATTAAAATTTGACCATTATTTTTTTTTGTTTTGTTTTATCTTTGTTTTTTTTTTACTCCACAATCAATAGCGCGGGGAGAGGGGAGACTGTTCTCTGATTTAAATCCAGGTGTTTGCCGAGTACATTCCTCAGTTTTTCCATTCTGGTTTACCCTTGTCTATAGTACAGGATGCAGAGCCGAGCCAGGAAAAAAACATCCACTTGTGTACCCTTTGGCATGCATGAAAAAACATTTGATGATGGAGAAGGCGGAAGTGCCGTTGTCCAGGCAAAATTTATCCCATAGCACACTGCATGGTGTAGGTCCGACTTCAGTAAACTTTTAAACCCCATATTATTTTATTTGGATAAATTGTACGTTTAACCTACATTATGCAAGAGCTAAATCTGCCTATTGCAGGTCTTTCTTTAGGCCTGACATGTTATATAAATTATTAGACATTAATTAACTTATCCAGACCATAATCAACTCTCGATGGCATCGCTAGCCTGAAATATTTAGTGGATTCGAATACATTTTGTGATGGATAATTGACTTTGTTTTTAATCATACTGACTTTAGTAATGATGATCCAGACTAGGCCTAAAATTCAATCGCTAATATCTCTATTCAGAGTGGCACAATTTGACTGAAATTTTCAGCAAATCCCCTTTACCATATCTGTTTTTCAACTATTAAGACAAGAACTGTCACCTCTTTATCTTATCTCCCATAATGTCCCTTTAGTTTTTGTAACCTGATAGTAACAATTATTTTGAGTTGTATATTTATTAAAATTTAATCTATTTATTTCTAGAATAATGTGTTAAATAAGATCAGTGTAATAGAAGATGTTTATAGGAGAATTCTGGAAGTTATCCACAATCTAGAAGTACATCAAGTTAAACTCAAACAGGAAGTCTCACATTTCGACGAGAGTATTCATAAAATGACTCGCAGTTTTGAACGTTTGGTGGATGATAGCAAAAATAAAAAAGTAAGTATGTTTTTTTTCTTTTTTTCCCATTATATTAAATATCAGAGACTAAGATAATCTCCCTTGAGGTACACCCAAAGTTGCTCACCATGATTTGCGAGATTTGAATCCCATGAGGGAGCTACGATGGCTAAGTGGGTAAGACGCTGGGTCGCTAGCCTGGAGGTCACATGTTCGATCCCTATATTGGCCAAGAAAGTTCATAAGGATTTACCGACGTGGTTCCCCCTTCTTTTGTCTTGTCCTTAAATTTTTCTTGTGTGATTGTTTGTGTGTGGTGCAGTCCCCCTGCACTTACTATTTAAGCCAAGAAAAATTAGATGTTGTCTGATGAATACTTTAATTAGTCGGATTACGAAAGATATCCCATTAAATACGCCAATAAAAACATGAATTATTTATTTAAACATACATTATGCAAGAGCTAAATCTGCCTATTGCAAGTCTTTCTTTAGGCTTCAGATGTTATAGAAGTTATTTATTTAACAACAAGCTAAAAATCAACTCTGTAGACCCACGGATGGCTTGGATACAGTTTGGATTTAAACAGTCGTCCATTTAAAATTAAATCAATAAATGGCGGATCAAGCTAACGTTTATCGTTAGTTGCTGATGTCACCACCGGAAACTTGTGATGAAAGGTCTACCAAGCGAGGCTACCATAGCCATTGAGCATGTTACTTGATAATCGAGAATATGTGGGTGGAGTTATCGTCTGTCAATCAAACAATCACCCATTCTCATAGACGGTGCAGACACAATTGATGCCTATTTCTAGTACAAACTTCCAGCAGTGACAATTCCATTCAGAACAAAGTAATTTGACTGAAGTTTTCAACATTTTTTTTTTTTATCATCTATTTTTGAAGTATATAGCAAGAATGGCCAACTCTTTATAAAACTCTTAACTAATGTACCTTTAAGAAATTATCTCCCTTGTTTTTTTCAGCTGTCTGATCAAGCATCTTCATTAGGTGAGGCTCTGTCTAAACTGACATCAGAGAGTGTATCAGATTTAAAACTTGACAAACTGTCTCCTGTTAAACAACTCAAATCAACAAAAACAGAGAGCTCTAAACCTCCACCTGCTGTTAAAAAACAACTCAAATCAACAAAAACAGAGAGCTCTAAACCTCCACCTGCTGTTAAAAAACAACTCAAATCAACAAAAACAGAGAGCTCTAAACCTCCACCTGCTGTTAAAAAACTTCCGAATGAGAACCTGTCATCTAAATCAACTAGTTCCGGTGAAACTGCAGTACCAAACACCTCTGACAAAGAAAAAATTGCAGAAAATCTAAAAGATAAATTAAAGACTCTGACCGATATGAAAGAACAAGCTATGAGAGCCAGGACACCGGAATCTAAGAAGGAAATATCAGTCCCTTTAAAAGAAGGACTTGGGTCTGTTAAAAAATCATTTAAGCATCTTCTGTTGCCAAAAAATCTCAAGTTTACGGCGTTGAAACATAAGACACCAAAGGAAAAGACGAAAAACAACACTAGATTGCATACTTCCGAAAAGTTACTTCAAAATCATTTAAACAAACGAAAAGATTTGTTATCCAATAAGGTTTCTGAAATTGAGTCTTCATTAGGTGGCAAAAAGTCTCCAAATAAAAAGTATTTGCAGTCATTAGAACAGAAGTTACATTCACAAGAAAAGAAGTTCTATGCACCAGAAATAAAGTCACCATTACCTGAAAAATTGTCCACATTACCTAAAAGGTTGTCCACATTACTTGAAAAGAAGTCCACATTACCTGAAAAGGAGTCCACATTACCTGAAAAGGAGTCCACATTACCTGAAGAGAAGTCCACATTACCTGAAAAGGAGTCCACATTACCTGAAGAGGAGTCCACATTACCTGAAAAGGAGTCCACATTACCTGAAAAGGAGTCCACATTACCTGCAGAGAAGTCCACATTACCTGAAAAGGAGTCCACATTACCTGAAAAGGAGTCCACATTACCGGAAAAGAGTTCACCAGTACCAGAAAAGAGCTCTCCATTAGCTAAAAAGAAGTCTTCATTACAAAAGAAAAAGTTAAACAAAAAACGAAGAAAGGGGAAACGACGACGGCGGAGACGTAAAAATAAAGGCCGTAGGAAGAAACTAAGACGAAAGAGAAAACCACAGGGATAAAAAGTTTAAGAGAGATTTACCGGTAGTTTGTATAGCTATCTATCTATCTAAGCTATCATGCTAGTTTGTGTAGCTAGCTATCTAAGCTATCATGCTAGTTTGTGTAGCTATCTATCTAAGCTATCATGCTAGGTTGTGTAGCTATATATGTAGCTAGATTGTGTGTGTAGCTATCTATCTAAGCTATCATGCTAGTTTGTGTAGCTATCTATCTAAGCTATCATGCTAGGTTGTGTAGCTATATATGTAAGCTATCATGCTAGGTTGTGTAGCTTTATATGTAAGCTATCATGCTAGATTGTGTGTGTAGCTATCTATCTAAGCTATCATGCTAGTTTGTGTAGCTATCTATCTAAGCTATCATGCTAATTTGTGTAGCTATCTATCTAAGTTAAATTCATTCTTTTCATTATTTATTATTAAACTGTGATCTGATGTTAAGAAAAAAATGTGTGATATTGTTAAATATTATATTTTTGTTAGTTTTTTAATCAATAAAATAAATCTTGGTTGATATTCATTTGATTTATTGTTAGATGATTGATGCAAGGAAACAAAATATGGTCATAAAATTGAGTTCACTAAAACATGACTGCCTATAGTCATGTACAGAGGTTGGAACTGTGGAACCTCGAGTTTGAGTCGAGTCACAAGTCACTGCACCTCAAGTCCAAGTCGAGACCCAAGCCGCTGACTTTAGTATCGAGTCAAATTCTGTGTCTTCACAAAACCCAAGTCCTGTTAAAGTCACCAATTTCATCAAATAAGTTAGCAATTCATGGCAAATAAGGCAAGTTAAGACTTATGTCCCCTCACCACAACTCAGTCCTTAGCCGTCACAAGTTTTCACAACTGCAGAGTCGAGTCTTTGATGCAACTTAAATTGGTCTTGAGCCCGAGGCACAGGACTTGAATCTAAGTCTCGGGACTCCAGTTCCCACCTCTGTTCATCTATTGGTCTTAAGCGTTACTCTGTTGATTTCAGGGGGAGTTGGGTGGCCAAATGGTTTAACGTGTGTACATTAGATCAGAAGGTCTGTCATTGAGTAAGTGGCGTGGTTTCGATTCCCCGCTTGTACATGACAAGGAGTAGGGTCATCTGTCCAGCTTCGTGGCGTTTTCTCCAGATCCTCAGGTTTCCTCCCACTGCTAAAAATACCTACGTATAAAATGAACTATATGTTAGTCTCGAAATGACCTAGTTTGTGTCGAGTGGACATTACCCCCCCCCTCTCTCTTGGTTGATTTCATCTTGTCATCAATGCAGTCATGGATTCGATTCTTAGATTGTACATTATCAGATAGTTGCCCAAAATCCCACGATACAAAAAAGAGTTCCATTTCGGTAATTGGCAGAGAGAGTTCATCGGGATTTTCTGACGTGGTTTCCCCTTGTCAGTGGTGCAGGACGGGGGCCTGACAAGGACAGCTGTCTAGTCTTTAGGATGGGACATGAAAAAAAAGATCCTGTGTACACATTGGCGTGCAGGTAAAAGATCCCTTGGCAGTTGGAATTCGATATAAGAGTAGGTTGTAGTGCCGCTGCCCGGGCAAAATTGTCCTCATAGCACACTGTATGGCGTATGCCAGCCTTCCTTAGCCCAGTCGGAGCAGAACAGTAGGACATTAAACACCACTTCATTTCAATTTCAGTAGGAAATGAAATCAAATATGGTTTAACATTTTACTTATTTGCACAAAGACGGACGTATACCATTCAGCGTGCCTGGACATCGGCGTAACCATCTACTCTTTATCAATTCCAACTGTCGAGGGTTCTTACATTCTTTGTCCCATTCAAACAACAAAATAGATGCTTTTTCCTTGCCAGGCCCTCTGTTCTGGTTATTGAATCAGCTTCATGTTCAGTTCAGCAACCGTGGCTACCATTTCAGAAGGCTAAATCTAGTTGTTAAGGCCAGCTCAACTTTCATCAAGGTCGCTGAGAAGTAAATAAGGTTAGGGCACGTAATTGTTGGTGAGGTTGTGGGTTTGGGTTAGGCTAAACATTAAGGTTAGGTCCAGGGTTAACGTTACCCCTGTTTATATCTTGTGATCTTTGATCAAACTTGAAGTTGGCCTTATCAATAAGATCTATCTAACCTAATAGACCAATGTGCCCTAACCACGGTTAGTGCTAGCCCTGTTTACATCTTGAAGTTGGCCTTATCAAATAGATCTAACCATCTGGGAAGGAAAAAGAGCAGGCAGATAATGATTTATTATGAAATTATTAAAATATATGAGTATAATCCTTATACATGTATATGACTGATTGAAATTATTAAAATATATGACTGATTACTGATTAATCTTTTCTCTTGTATTTTCCACTCCGTAATTTTCCTGCTAGAGATTTATTTTCATCGGATGTATCCGTGGATGAGCGACGACCTAGATATAAATATCCTATAGACATAGTCGCAATTGATAAACCTGAAATAAATCATTTAATAATTTTACGTTAAATTCATATAGATTGATAATTATAATGTGGATAAAAACTTTTCTTTTTGGAAAACTACTCACACCATAGTCATTTTCATGTGGACGTATATTGTCGTCGCTCCTGTCTGTCCGGACATTCGTCCACAATTTGTTTGTGGGCACGCTATAGGTCAAAATTCTTATCCGATTTTGACGAAACTTTAAATATAGGTTCATTTGAATCATCTCCAAAAGATCTTGGTTCCTTTTGATATTGGCATGTATTAGATTGAAACTTCATGGATTATGTCCGCTGATTGTACGAAAAATTATGTTTTTGGCTTGTGGACACTATAGAGGTCACAATTTTTATCTGATTTAGAAGAAACTTGAAATGTATGTATATAACCCAAAGATCTCGGTTACTTTCGATAGTTTTAGCTTGTGGTTCCTCTAGAGGTCACAATTTTATCCGATTTTAAAATATGTTCAAATATATCACCGTTACACCGTAGTGATGATTGAATTCGAATGTTGTGAAAATCGGAACAAAACTGCCGAACGAAATGGCTACTCCTTGTACGCAAATAGTGTTAATGTATGTAATGTTCAGGTTGTGGACCCTCTAGAGGTCACAATTTTGATCTGATTTTGACGAAACTTAAAATATATGTTTATATCCCAGTCCCAGTAGATATTCACGCATATCGGACTGTACCTTTTTGGATTATGACCCTTGATTGTACGAAAAATCACTACCTTTTTTTAGCTTGTTCTCTGTCCATCTTTTGCAAAATGTGGGTGTATCTTGCATGGCAACGACTTGTTGGGAAACTCAGGGTGGACTGAGAAAGAGGCTGTGAGTATGGTATTCTCTGGGGCCCCTAAATAAGTTAAATGTTCTCGCATAGTTTGGGGAGCCAAAGAAAAATGTAACTTACTTGATACTAATAATGGTGCCATAACTCCTACAGTAAATCCTGCTGATTTAAATAATAAAACCTCTGATATAAAATGTCCCAATGCCAGATAGAAGGACAAATATGTTAAGTTGTATAATCTAGAAAAAGAAAACAAAAAGTTAAATATTTATTGGAGATCAATAAAATAAATCATGTCAAATTATGAAATAAATTAATTCACCGATTCTCCCAGCGATATTTGGTTCACTGAAATCAAACAGGGTGTGCACAACTCAGAACACTTAAAATTCTAGGAGTTTCCCAGGAGTCTTTTACCAGATTCCAGTAGTCCCTGTATAGAATTCTACATCATAATGTATTTTTTTTTTACGCTTGAAGAACAGTTACAGCAACGAACTTGTGAACTTTTGAAGAGACATTCGATGACTACGTTCAGTTTTATATCTTATTATATATAGCGAAACCACAAATGTTAATTTTCCAGGCGTTTCAAGAAGTGCTGTTAATTTTCCAGGCGTTTCAAGAAGTGCTGTTAATTTTCCAGGAGTTTCAAGTAGTAATCTTGTTTTTCCAGGATTTTCCAGTAGTGGAAATTACATTTTCATTTTTCCAGGATTTTCAAGCAGATTCAAGGAGTGTGCGAACCTTGTATAAGAGATGTTCATAGTATGATGTGTATAGGGGGTTGGGATAGCCTAGTGGTCTAGAGTGTCACGCTTAGAACTCTAGCTGACAGGTCACCTCTGGCTTGCGGTTGGTGCTATGGACTAGAGTGTCATGCTTAGAGCTCTAGCTGACAGGTCACCTCTGGCTTGCGGTTGGTGCTACAGCCTAGTGGTCTAGAGTGTCACGCTTAGAGCTCTTGAGAAGGGCTTCCACTTCAAAATTTTCACTGCCGGTCATTTTTGACTCTAGAGTGTCATGCTTAGAGCTCTAGCTGGACAGTCAACTCTGGCTTGCGGTTGGGACTGCCTAGTGGTCAAAATTGTCATGCTTAGAGCTATAGCTGACCGGTCACATCTGGCTTGCGGTTGGGATGGCCTAGTGGCCTAGTGTCATGCTTAGAGCTATAGCTGGCCAGTCACCCCTGGCTTGCATGCGTGGATTTGATCCCTGGTATGAGCATATATGGCTTGAAGATAGGCATGCCTTCTTAACCTTGTGGGTTTATTCTGGCTTTCTCCCACAAGAAAGACAACTGTGCATGTGCTAAGATAATAAAAATAAGATAAATTGTCTACGATATCACCCTCAGAGGAAGCGGACGTTAAACAGTAATAGAAGATGATGTATACAGATATCATAATAAACACACAAAATAATATGGAACACAATTACTATTTTAATTAATGCGATATTTTGTTGAGGAATACATTACGAAGCATCGCTTTAATTAAAATAGTAATGGTGCCTTTTACTCATTTTACGCTTTCGTGTAATCTACCCTTTTATACTTAAAAAACCTTTATTTATTTTTCTAATACTTCAATTTAATCTGCAGCGGGAAATAAGTTAATATTGCGAGCTAATGAGCTAATTAACCTGCACCGATGTGATCCCTCTCAGTGATTGTAGTGGCCTAGTGAATATTCACTGCTGATCAATTTGGGCCAATGCTTGTATTGGATCTTGGACCTCCAGTCCTCCAGGCTAGAGAGCAAGTGCGCGCCAAGATTTAAATAGTAATACCCCCTTAAAGTTGTGAAATACTTACGCTTTGTTATAAATATCAACCGCACAATAAAATCTTAAAACACCAGACAACAAAGTCCATACACCAAATAATCGAGCTACCAGTCCATTCACTACAATTAGATCCATCAATGATATGAGAGAGAGAGAGAGAGAGAGTAATTGGGTTTAATGTAGAGAGAGAGTAATTGGGTTTAATGTAGAGAGAGAGTAATTGGGTTTAATGTAGAGAGAGAGTAATTGGGTTTAATGTAGAGAGAGAGTAATTGGGTTTAATGTAGAGAGAGAGTAATTGGGTTTAATGTAGAGAGAGAGTAATTAATTGGGTTTAATGGAGAGAGAGAGTAATTAATTGGGTTTAATGTAGAGAGAGAGTAATTAATTGGGTTTAGAGAGAGAGTTTAATGTTAACTCAAATAGAAACTAGGTCATTTTGGGACTAACAGTTTTATTTCAATAATTCGCATGCATGTAAGATTCTTTCTTTAGCTGTGACAGGAAATCAACAGACTCTGGGAAAATCCAGAAGGCTAAGCAGCTGACCCTACTCAGTGTCATGTACAAGTGTGGGCTCATGCAATGACAGACCTTCTGATCTAAAGCCCAAGCATCCTACCATTCGATCCCTTTAGAGTTTATTATTTTGTGGAGCTGTTGTGCAAGTACAGCCTGTGACTGATTAGCTGGCGAAGTGGGTAAGACGCTGGTTCACTAGCCTGGAGGTCGGGTATTTGATCCCTACATTGACCGAGAAAGTTCATCCTTATTTTCCGGCGTGGTTCCCCCTTGCAAGTGATGCAGGATGGAGGGCCTGACAAGGACAGCTGTCTAGTCGTACAGATGGTACAAAAAACTGAGGTCCAGTCTACACATTGGCACGTAAAAAATCCCTTGACAATTGGAATTTGATATTAGAGTGTGGGCCGTAGTGCCTTCGTCCAGGAAAATTTCCCTTATAGCACACTGTATGGCGTATACCCATCTTCATTAGCCCAGTTTCGAGCAGAACAGTAGGAGGTTAAACCCCATTTCATTTCATTTACTGTTTTGGTTTGGTACTGGTACCAATAACACATTGCTTACCATTGCTTGGAGTGACTGTATATAATTTAGATTTTAACAATTGTGGATCTACAAAGCATTGGACTGTGTTTCCTAAAGCCATAATAGCCACAAAACCAATCCACACTCGTAGATAGCGCATATATCTCTCAGCAAACACTTCAGTTACCATTTCTCTGGAATAAAGCGTCTGCTACAAGAAATGTGTTAATCCTTGATGAACTTTGCGGGGTCAATTAATGGGTCGATCCGTGGCATGATTTAGTTGATGTTAATAGTCGTAAATGTCTGGATTGTAATTTAAGTTTGTTTTTTCTTGAATAAATAAAACATATCGTTATTTTAAAATTGATTGCAATTAGAAAAACATCCTTTCCGTAATTTAGTCTATATAACAGAAAATAAAAAGAAATTGTCCGATCTGAATGTCGTAAACCGGAAACAGACGCGCTTAAGATAACAACCAATAAACAAATGGCGGCCTCCATGAATACACAATAAACAATGCAAAAATAATGGTAAATTTACCCCCTTTTTAACTGGAAGAACTCCCAAAAGATGAAATTTAATTATCAGAGTTTTGTTTTTTGAGGAATTTGGGATGATCAAATTTGTTTGAATATTTTGCTGTGCAAAAACGGAATATCTGAGATCGTGAAAGACAGAGAAAAAAAAAAAATCCTGATAACTGACTAAACCTAGCCACCATTCTCAGCATGTGTCAGTAAATGTAGTTATTGATTCAGTCAATTTCAATTCTCACTTGGCAAGCTGTCTATTCACTTTACTGCAAACTATCAAGTCAGATCTACCGTTCTTCTTTCTTTTATTTATTTATTTTTTTAACACATATGCTGTGTCACACAGATCATTATGATGATTATGTTGTGGGATAAGTGACCTGGATACGAATAATTTAAAAATTATATATATGATTTACAAATTACAAATACTGTACTAGGTAGTCCAGCAAAACATGTTACAATATATCCTTGATGTCATCACCAAAGAGATATTCACCAGTTTTGGGTAATTTTGGGTCCTTAATAAGAATTCCCGAACAAAGCTTATTGGATCCACAAAGGCCGAGATCTATAGCTGGTTTCAGAAACAAACGAAGGTCTCGACATTCATTACCATCAATGAAACCTCAGACTCCAGGTTTTGAACGAAGTCAAACTCATGCTTCACTGCGAAGTAGAAATGATGAAAGCAGTAGAGATGATGGACAAGAGGAAAATGGAGTCTGGTTTTGGGTAAATAAAAGCGGTTTTCCTGTGGAAGATAAAACATGGGATAGAATGTGGGATCATGTTGCTAAGATACATCCCGGTGGTTATAATATGGTGTGTAGTATTCGAGGTGCCAAAGATTTACCACAGGTGAGTAAAACCATGGACCTTATAATATTATAAGGTCCATGGTAAAACGGGAAAAAAAATGGGGTTTAACATCCACTCGACACAAACTAGCTCATTTCGAGACTAACATATGGTTTAATTAATTTCACTTGCACCAAGGGGTTCTTTAGCTGTGGGAGGAAACTGGAGAACCCGGAGAATACCCACGAGGTTGGACAGACGACCCTACTTCTTGTAATGTACAAGTAGGGAATCAAAATAACGCCACTTGATTCAATGACAGACCTTATGATCTAACACATGCATGTTAATCCAATAGACCAAACAACCCCCCGGTAGGTGAAACATATTGACCACAAGCATTTCTCATTTTATATTAGGGTATGGTTTTCAGGCAAATACTAATAGTTCATGTAAAATATCCCTTAGCAGTATGACTTGGAAGAGAGTTTGCAAATATGCCTGGACAAGATTTTATTTACATTCACCGTACGTGTTTATCAACTGAACATTAAATTTATCATACAAGTTATTGCTTTAACAAGACAATAAATCTTATTCTATTACTTTCTTTTATTGTTCATAATTGTAAAAATATTTTTGTCTCTACTTTAGATACCAACACCACAGCCACCATTTTCGTTACCTGTTCAGATGCCTGTTGCCGAGAAACTGGAGAAAATTCAAAATTATATGAGAGAATTACAGTATCCTTCATAAAATTTAAAATAGGCCCATCAAAAGATGTTATATAAAAATTATAGTTGGCACTACCCTGTATATGTTGTCTGCATTGGATTCGGAATGTTGGGGAAATTTTTAATTCATGATAACTTTGTAAATAGGCCTACTCAATGGAACTGAATCGTTTCTTGACTGACAAGAATGTGAAATCCTTCAAATGTTTAGCAGCTTTAAGGATGGGTTAAAGTTATAAGTTTATGATAAAGTTAAATAATGTTAGTGATGTTTATGTCTGTATTTCCGGGGGTTGTGTAGCCGAATGGTTAGTGCGTATGCGTTGTATCATAAGGTCTGTCATTGAGTCAAGTGGTGTGGTTTTGATTCCCCGCTTGTACTTGACAAGGAGAAAGGTCGCCTGTCCAACCTCGTGAGTTTTCTCTTGGTCCTCCGGTTTCTTCCCACTGCTAAAGACCCCTACGCGCAAGAGAATTAGTGAAATAAAATAAAATTGAACCATTTTAGTCCCAAAATGACCTAGTTTGTGCCGGGTAGACCTTAAACACCATCTCTCTCTCTCTCTCATTTTCTCCATTTCTTGACTGGAATTCCTTTAGAGATATAACCTTCACAGTATTGTAGTTTTCCAGTAATGATGGGTTAAAGTTATAAGTTAATCCATATAATAAAGTTAACTTAAACATACATTATGCAAGAGCTAAATCTGTCTATTGCAGGTCTTTCTTTAGGCCTGAAATGTTATCTAATTATTAATTAGACATTAATTAACCTAACCAGACCATAATCAACTCTAGATCGCATCGCTAGCCTGCGATCTTTAGTGGATTGTGAGCCGATTTGCTGCATAACTTTCCTTGACGATTTAACGATTAAATGGATAATCGAGACTATGCTGTTTATCGTACTGACTTTAGTAATGATGATCAAGGCTAGGCGGAAATTCAATCGCTTTGTTCTCGGTTCATGGTGGATCAATTTGAATGAAATTTTCAGCAAATTGCCTTTACATTATCTAGTTTTTAACTATTATAGCGAGAACTGCCAACTTGTTATCAAATCTCCCATAATGTATCTTTAATTGATGATGTTTATTTCTAAATTTCCTTAATACAACATAGATATAATCATACAGGAACTCAGTTTTTTGAGATAAAGAAAAACAGACCAATCTCTGGGTAAATAATGTACACAGTGAATATGATTGATAGGTTTAAATAAGTTGTTCATTCAACATTTATTCAATTTGTTTCATTTCTACATTTATGTTTGGAGGGAGGGGGATGGGGATGTAGATCATAAGGTCTGTCATTGAGTCAACTGGCGTGGTTTCGATTCCCCAGTTGTAAGTGATAAGGAGTAGGGTTGCCTGTCAAATCTCTTGGGTTTTCTCCGGGTTCTCTGGTTTCCTTTCACTGCTAAAAATCCCTACGAGCAAGAATTTTTTTAAATGAAATTTAACCAAAATCTTTGTCCCGAAATGACTCAGTTTGTGTCGAGTGGACTTTAAACCGCAATTCTCTCTCTCCCTGGGGCCCAATTTGCCAGGGACCCAAATTCTGTCGGGGCCTAAATCACCCCGGATCCAAATTTGCCAAGGGCCCAAATTTGCCAGAGGTCAAATTTTCCTTGGGCCCAAATTCACCACGGGCCCAAATTCGAACAGGGGCCTGTTTCACTAAATTTTGAACTAAGATAAAATCCAAATTTTAGTAATTTGATTGGATAATATTAGATTGATGTTAGTGCTTAGCCAATGAAAATTGAAGTATCTACTAAAATTTGGATTTTATCTTTAGTTAAGATTTCGTGAAAAAAGATCCAGGGCCTAATTCACCAAGGCCCCAAATTTGATGGCCTAAGACAATTAACCGGGTCATACTGGTTAATTTGATACCAGTCACATTTGTGGGGGTTGAGTTCACTGACGAAGCGTGATGGGCGGACACACACAGAGACAGACATCTTTAATTTTATTTATATAGATATAATTAATACATTTATAATTCTGGCACAAAGTTCCAAATATCAGGTACAGCTTCAGTCATTAATGATGCTTACATGTGTCTGGTATGCCTACAAATAATATCATTATTTCCAAGCCCGATTTGATCAACTAGATATAATAATACTGATGATTGTTTTTATCCCTCAGGTTAATGGAAAGTGCAAAAGAGATGATACGAGAAGCTTTACCTATTAAATGTTTAGAAGCAGTTATACTTGGCACGTATCCTTTACTTCAAACAGTCGAATAAAACAGAATGAAATAAGTTTAAACGTCCAACTTTTCTGTACCAAGTAGGCTAATGAAGATGGTCATATACCAACCAGTGGGCTATACGGGAAATTTGCATAGACAGCTGCATTTTCACCTACAATTCCAACTGTCAAGGATTCTTTTACATACATTCTAACAACCAATGTGTACATTGGATCATGTTGGGTATTTTTACCATCCGAATGACTAAAAGCTGTCTCTTGCCAGGCCTTCCCCCCCCCTCCGTGTGCATCACTGACAAGGGCAATCTGATATTCCTTCGATAGCCTCCACTACATAAAGAGCTGACTGGTTGTAGTTGGAGGTTGTGTCAGGGGTCATGCAAGCGGCTTTTGATGCTATGACGTCAAACTTTTGATTTACTAATTTGCGTTGATGTTTCTACTAGGATACCCACATGGCCGTCAGGTCCAGATATGCTACATGTATCTGCAGATTATAAAAAGATATCTTAACTGGTACAGATTTTTAACGAATGGTACAATGGGTTTAGAGAGATATGCTATAAGTTTTAAAAGTACGTTCGGATGTCATGTACATCGTCATGTTGTATTAGGTGTGTATTATGGAGGATTATATGGTGCTATTGGAATGAGTAGAAGAGAGGAACTGATGTATAAACCATTACAGTACAAGGTAAACAGAATTGGTCATTTCGGGACTAACATATGGTCCAGTTTTATATCTATAATTCGTTAGGGCAGAGGGGTCTTTAGCAGTGGGGGGTGGGTGGATGGCCGAATGGTTAGCACGTGCATGCTGTATTATAAGGCCTGTCATTGAGTCAACTGACGTGGTTACAAATCCCCGTTTGTACGTGACAAGGAATAGGGTCGCCTGTCCAACCTCGTGGGTTTTCTCCTGGTCTCCTGTTTCCTCCCACTGCTAAAAACCCCTACATGTATGTGCAACCAAATTATTGAAATAAAATTGAATCATATGTTAGTCATGAAATGACCTAGTTTGTGTCGAATGGACGTTAAACCCCATTTCTCTCTCTCTCTTTAGCAGTGGGAGGAAACTGGAGGACCCGGAGAAAACCCATGAGGTTGGACAGGCGACCCTACTCCTTGTCACGTACAACCGGGTAATCGAAACCATGCCAGATGACTCAATGACAGACCTTATGATACAACAACCCCCCTGTACAAGATAAATAAATACAGTTTAAATAACCTTCTGTGTTTATGGAGCCACAGTGGCTAAGTGGGTAAGACACTGGCTCGCTAGTCTGGAGATCGCGAGTTCGCTCCCGGTTTTGCCCGAAAAATTTCATCAAGATTTTATGGCCTTGGTTCCTCTTGTCAGTGGTGAAGGATAGAAAGGGCCTGACAAGGACAACTGTCTAGTCATTTGGATGGGGAAAAAAACAAGGGCCTACTGTTCTGTTCTGACTGGGCTAGTGAAGACGGGCATACGCCATACAGTGTATACACAGGACCCCAGTTTTTCGTCCCATCCAAATTACTAGACAGCCGTCAGGGGGAAACCCTGTCGAAATAATCCTGATAAACTTTCTCGGCCTATGCAGAGATCGAACATCCCACCTCCAGGCTAGCGAGCCAGCATCTTACCCACTTAGCCATCGTGGCTCCCGGGCTTTGATAAAGTTGTGAAATATTTTATGAACAAATAAAATTTGTCTGTATCTTTCATGATAATCTAAAAATATTAAAGATACATTATGGGAGATTAGATAAATAGTTAAAAACTAGATAATGTAAAGGGAATTTACTGAAAATTTCAGTCAAATTGATCAACTCTAAACCGAGAATTTTAGCAATTGAATTTTGGGCCTAGCCTCAGTCATCATTACTAAAGTCGGTACGATAAAAAACATAGTCTCGATTATCCATTTTTTGATTTAATCATTAATGTGTGTTGAACAGATCTGATTCCAATCTAGTAAATATCGCAGGCTAACAATGGCATCGAGAGTTGATTATGGTCTGGATAAGTTAATTAATGTCTAATTAATAATTTAGATAACATTTCAGGCCTAAAGAAAGACCTACAATAGGCCGATTTAACTCTTGAATAATGTATGTAATAGACATTTATTATGCTCTGAAAAGCACACAACTTACGAGCGTATGATATGCTAAAATCAAGACATTTAATATTATATAAGTTTATCCGTAAATTGTTGTCGGAAATAGTAACCTCTCTCCACGATGCCAATTGTGGATGAAACTATCTGGTATCGATGTAATAATTTTTATTTCTTTTCTTTTCAGACGCTTTCAGATTTGATTTTAGATTTTCAGAAGTATTATATCAAATGTAAGTAAGTTTATATGAAGTTTTTAGAAATATTTATGTTACTTTTCGATACATTTATCCAATCTGTTTCACAGAGGATTACGAAAGTCTTCTAATATCTCTGTAAAAGATGACTACCTTCAATCATTGGCTCAGTGGCGCGTGCATTGTTTACACATAAATCGTAGTATTTATTACATATTTCAGTTGTTTTTATATGCCTACATTTTATGTATACAGTTGTTGACATTTCAAAATGAAACTGGTGGGCGTATATTTGTTGTCTGGAAACTGTTATGTTTAATTTTTTTCTCTCTCCAGTTCACCATGAGTTAAAAAAAGTAAAAGTGGGATTACCTATTATTCATGATCCACATAGTTATGAAACTATTCCATGGAAGGTAGGTTTAAAGGAGCTAAGTCGCTAATATTTGGGACCTAGAAATTGATACAAATGCATCACAACACTTATAATAATGTAATATGAATGTATATAAACTGATTTACATTCAATCGTTTCTGTTTTTACTGTAATTTCTAATCAGTTAAGTTCGGTGAAATACGCCAGAAATCTCAATCGAATGGCTATTTCCAGAGTTTGGTTATACCAGTCTACACCGATATTATTTAATGCGCATGCTCTCCAGATAAGAATATAGCGTCACCGTGGAATATGTCTAGCCTCATTCTTCGAGCCCCTTGTTACAAATGACGCTGAAACGTGTTATGGTACACGATTCGTGTACCAATGGTAAAAAGTTTATTTTGTCTTAAATATTGGATATCAGAAGCCCACTTTTTTCCGCTAAGATCACAACATCAATGTTGATTTAAATAGACAAATAATTTGTGTTTTCAATGTCGAAGAATTTGGATGATATTGAGTTAGAGACTTAGCTACTTTAATATAGCTTTGTTTAGTGTTCATTTACCTGTATGCAATATATATTTACATTTATATATTTCGGGACTAACACATGGTTCAATTTTATTTCAATAATTCACTTGCGCATAGGAGTCTTTAGCAGTGGGAGGACCCGAAGAAAACAATGTTGGATAGGTGACCCTACTCCTTGTCATTGGTCTGGTGGTATATTAATAAGCATGTTTAAAGAGTGTGAGAGGGGATGGGTGGTCTTGTGGTTCAACGTGTGTGCGTGAAATCATAAAGATTCTGTCATTGAGTCAAGTGTGTGGTTTTGATTCCCATCAGTCCCCAGTCACTGACTTTAGTACTGAGTCAAGCCCCAAGTCACTGACTTTAGTACTGAATCGAGTCCACAAGTCACTGACTTTAGTACTGAGTCGAGCCCCAAGTCACTGACTTAAGTACTGAGTGGAGTCGAGTCGCCAGTTGCTGACTTTAGTACCGAGTCGAGTTGCTATTTGCTGACTTTAGTACTGAGTTGAGCCCCAAGTCACTGACTTTAGTACTGAGTCGAGCCCCAAGTCACTGACTTTAGTACTGAGTGGAGTCGAGTCGCCAGTTGCTGACTTTAGTACCGAGTCGAGTTGCCAGTTGCTGACTTTATTACTGAGTCGAGCCCCAAGTCACTGACTTTAGTACTGAGTCGAGCCCCAAGTCACTGACTTTAGTACTGAGTGGAGTCGAGTCGCCAGTTGCTGACTTTAGTACCGAGTCGAGTTGCCAGTTGCTGACTTTAGTACTGAGTCGAGCCCCAAGTCACTGACTTTAGTACTGAGTGGAGTCGAGTCGCCAGTTGCTGACTTTAGTACCGAGTCGAGTTGCCAGTTGCTGACTTTAGTACTGAGTCGAGCCCCAAGTCACTGACTTTAGTACTGAGTGGAGTCGAGTCGCCAGTTGCTGACTTTAGTACCGAGTCGAGTCGCCAGTTGCTGACTTTAGTACCGATTCGAGTTGCCAGTTGCTGACTTTAGTACTGAGTCGAGTCGCCAGTTGCTGACTTTAGTACGGATTGGAGTCGAGTCGCCAGTTGCTGACTTTAGTACCGAGTCGAGTCGCCAGTTGCTGACTTTAGTACTGAGTCGAGTTGCCAGTTGCTGACTTTAGTACCGAGTCTAGTTGCCAGTTGCTGACTTTAGTACTGAGTCGAGCCCCAAGTCTTCACAATGCCCGAGTCCCGTTTAAGTCACCAGTTAATCAAGTGAGTCAGCAATTTATGGCAAATAAGGTATGTAGGAGTTATGTCCCTTCACCACGACTCGAGTCCTTATTTCTATCAAGTCACAAGCCTCACGACTACCGAGTCACAAATAATATTTCAAGTTGAATTGCAAGTTGGGTTATGATGGGGATGGCTGAATGGTTAGCGCTTGCGTGTTGTATCATAAGGTCTGTCAACTGGTGTTGTTTCGAGTCCCCAGTTGTACGTAACAAGGAGTAGGGTCGTCTGACCAACCTTGTGTGTTTTCCCCGGATCCTCAGGTTTCCTCCCACAGCTAAAGACCCCTACGTGCAAGCGAATTATTGAAACAAAAATTGAACCATGTTAGCCCTGAAATGACCTAGTTTGTGTTGAGTGGACGGTAACCCCATCTCTCTCTCTCTCTGTCTCTCTCTCTTTTATACAGAGTATGTTTAAACTCTGGCTATGCCTCATAGTCAGTCCCATTAATTTAAAACATGTCACAAAATGGTAAATAATTTTTCTTGCAGTGTATTAACATAAATGTATGTAAATCATTGAAGAAAGAAATGGTTCGAGATTTGGATCAACATGCTAAAGTTATTCGGTCCAAAGCCAGATCGTGGACTATGCCACCAGGAGCGCCCAAGAAAATGTCTACATTTATCGATACAGTAAAAGATTGTTCTAGTAGTAGCAGTAAATCACAAGTATCTACTAAATCATCATTCTCGTAAGTTATATTTCATGTTGGGTTGAAACACATTCCGTGCACAGAGAACTAGCTACATTGAGAATGGATCTCTGCACTGAATGGCAGTCATTTTCAAATATTAGTATATACCAGTACTATCTTCATACACACAAAGACTAAGCAAACATGTTCAACTTTAAGGGGGTTGGATATCCGAATGGTTAGCGCGTGCGCATTGTATTATAAGGTCTCATTGATTCAATTGACATGATTCCGATTCCCCAGTTGTACGTGACAAGGAGTAGGGTAGCCTGTCCAACCTTGTGGGTTTTCTCTGGGTCCTCCAGTTTACTCCCTCTGCTAAAGAACCCTACGCGCAAGCGAATTATTGAAATAAAATTGAACCATATGTTAGTCCCAAAATGACCCAGTTTGTGTCGAGTGGACGTTAAACATCATTTCTCGCTCTCCCATTCCTTGTCATGTACAAAATTGAGATCGAAATCATATGTTAGTCCAGAAATTACCTAGTTTGTGTTAACCCCATTTCTCTCTCTCTCTCTGTCCCTCTCTCTCTCTCTTAACCTGTGTGGCTGAAAGATTGGTCTACTGTGATTTTCCATTTGGAAACCAAATTATGTTTACAATCATAAATATAAACGGCTTTTCAGATTTTATTTATAGTTTTCTTCGGTTTATTTTTCAGACAATTCGGTATAACTGAACAGAGTATATCAACAAGTAATGGAGGACATACACAAACATCGATACAAGATAATTCACAACATTCTCTTAAATCTCCTGTCTCTTCGGGAAATAACGAATATTTACTCAGAATATAATATTACCTTGTGAGAACAGCCTACTCCTGAACAGTGGAAGTGTCCAAACCAGAATACAATGTTACCATATCAACAACCTCCTAGTCAACAGTACAAAGAAAACCCAAAACATTATTTAGTAATTGAACTGGAGTATACTGGTCACAATTTTATGGAATACAATTACTGCTGCTTATTACTGACTAATTAAATTAGATTCCCTTTAGGTACGTGCAATTAAGGGGTATCTCTGGTTGGTCAGCATTAACTAAGTATTGTTGTGTACATGTATATATTGTCTTGTTATAGATCATATTTTATTATTGCTTGATAATGACTAGAGAAACCTAGTCAGAACATCGCTCAATAATAAGTAGTAATTGTATTCTATAAAATTGTGGCCTGTATAAGTATCTACATCATGAACAGCACAAGTTTCTATAACAGAATATAATATTACCATTGATCAACAGTCGGTTGCTGAACAAGTGATTGCCATGTGAACAGGCGACTAGTGAACAGAACAAAAAAGAGAATATAATGTTACCATATAAACAGTCTATTACTGAACAGCACATGTGTCTAAAACAGAATATAATTTTACCATAGGAACAGTCGACTTCTCAACAGCACATGTCTCTAAAACAGAATATAATGTTAATAACTATCCCGTTTTGTCTGGGTTTTGTCATTGGTAACACAATATTTTCTGTGCTTTATGTATGTTCATCAAATTGAGTTCTGCGTAGAATTTATCCATAAAAACTTTATAAATTTAATACTGCAGAGAATATTTTCATAGAAACTTGATAAATTGAGTTCTGCTAAGAATTTACTCATAGGAACTTAATAAAGTGAGTACTGCTGAGAATTTATTTATTTATATAAGCTTTATAAATTTGGTACGGCTGAGGATATTTTCATAAAAACATGATAAATTGAGTTCTGCCGAGAATTTACTCATAGAAACTGGATAAAGTGAGTACTGCTGAGAATTTACTCATATAAACTTGATAAACTGAGATATGCTGGGAATTTACTCACAAAAACATGATAAATCAAGTACTGCTATACATTTACTCTTAGAAACTCGATAAAGTGAGCACAGTTGAGAATTTACTCATATAAAATTAATAAAGTGGGTACTGTTGAGAACCTACTCATAGAAACTTGATAAAGTGGGTACTGCTGAGAATTTATTATTTTGAATGTAGAATTATTTTATTATCATAATGAGATCTAATAAGAATGAAGATGGTTATGTACTGTCAAGATGTTTATGTACTGTCAAGATGGTTATGTACTGTCAAGATGGTTATGTACTGTCATGATGGTTATGTACTGTCAAGATGTTTATAAGATGGTTATGTACTGTCATGATGGTTATGTACTGTCAAGATGTTTATGTACTGTCAAGATGTTTATGTACTGTCAAGATGTTTATGTACTGTCAAGATGGTTATGTACTGTCAAGATGGTTATGTACTGTCATGATGTTGATGTACTGTCAAGACATGTACTGTCAAGATGTTGATGTACTGTCATGATGGTTATGTCTATGTACTGTCAAGATGGTTATGTACTGTCAAGATGTTGTATGGTAAAGAATTAATATTTATTTTAAAGAGAGTGTCTTACTACTCAGAATTTGAAATGTTATTGTACATTAATATTTATTAAACTGTATACTGCTTTGATGTTCCATATGGTGACCAATTTAAATTTATGGAAGGGAATACTTCCAAATGGTTTTTGTACAATACCAATTTACTGTTTATAATAGCAAATGAAAACATTAAAATAATCACATCATATCTACGGAAGACTGTATTTTATCCGAAGAGCAAAGAGAATTTACATACTTTCATTAAAACCCAGTGATTGTTTTCCATAGACTGTCGTGATTGTTTTCCATAGAACTATCGTGATTGTTTTTCATAGAACTGCAGTGATTGTTTTCCATAGAACAGCCATGATTGTTTTCCATAAAACTGCCATGATTGTTTTCCATAGGACATTTGTGATTGTTTTCCATAGAACATTTGTGATTGTTTTCCATAGAACATTTGTGATTGTTTTCCATAGAACTATCGTGATTGTTTTTCATAGAACTGCCGTGATTGTTTTCCCTGGAACATTCGTGTTTGTTTTCCATAGAACCATTGTGATTGTTTTCCATAGAACCATTGTGATTGTTTTCCATAGAACATTTGTGATTGTTTTCCATAAAACTGCCGTGATTAATACAATAATGTCTGTTAAAGGGAATACTAATGAAATATTCTGTATAGCAAAAACAAATGTTTGTATATATAAAGAGAACACTGCTGAGATTTTATGTTATTAAAAATATATATAATTGTTTAAACGAAGGATTTCAAATATTAACAAATTAATATTTATTATTATTTTTGTTGTATAGTATATTCTGTATATATTTGTCTACCATTCACATATTTATATTATTTTATTGATAAAAGACGATAATTTCATCGTTGAAAGGTCACAGAGTAATATTCTTAGTACCTGTGTATACCCTGTGTTAATATTTATCTGCCAGGGTACAGGTACTTCTGAGAATTATAAATGTTATTGTACAATAATTAAGAATATAATATTCTTGTATACTGCTGAGAATTTTAAATGTTATTGTATAGGAATTTAGAATTCTTGTATACTGCTGAGAATTTTAAATGTTAGTGTTCAGTAATTTAGAATATAATATTCGTTAACTTGTATACTGCTGAGATTTTAAATGTTATTGTACAATAATTTCGAATATATTTGTTAACTTGTACACTTGAGTATTTAAATGTTTTTCTACAATATTTTAGAATATATTATTCGTTAACTTGTATACTGCTGAGAATTTTAAATGTTATTGTACAATAATTTAGAACTGCTGGTAATTTATGATTGTATTTAAATGTTGATCTTTATAGACAAGAATTTATTTCGAGTTATTTTAAACGGGGTACAATATTATTATAGAAAAAAGTATTATTTATTTATTTATTTAAGTTACTAAAATATATTTATACATAAATATATCATCTTTTAAATTTTGATCTAAACTTAAAGGGGCATTAAATTATGGAGCTGACAGATAAAAAACAGATAATGAAAACAGAAAATGCTGAAAATTTCAGTCAAATTGTTTCACTCTGAAACGAGATATAAGTGATTCAATTTTAGGCTAGCCTTGAACGTCATAATTACCACAAAGTCTTGGTTCTACATTTCTACGTTAAATCATCCGTCATGAAATGTATTCAAATCCACTATATATCGCAAGCTAGTGATGGCATCGAGAGTTGATTTTGGTCTGGATAAGTTAATTAATGTCTAATTAATAATTTAGAAAACATTTCAGGCTTAAAGAAAGACATGTAATTGGCAGATTTAGATCTTGCATAATGCATGTCTAATTGCAGTGTTATTTTATTATTATTATACTACAAAAAAGTTTATTGTAAGTAAAGAGTAACGTTATTTATTTATACGACCATTATATATCATCTTTTAAATTTTGATATGAAGTTTTTGATAAATCTGAATTGTCATGTTATTTTAAACGTGGCACAATATTATTCTACAAAAGTGTTTATCATAAAAGGGAGCCACGGTAGTTCAGTGAGTAAGACATTGGCTCGCTAATCGGGAGGTCTTGTGATCGATCCCTGTGTTGTCAGAGAAAATTCATCATAGTTCCTTCTTGTCAGTGGTGCAGAACCTGAGAGTCTGGCAAGAGCCAAGGTATGGTCATTCGTAGGGGATGTGCACATAAAAGATCCATTGGCAGTTGGAATTCGATATAAGAGTAGGCTATAGTGCCATTGTCCGGGCAAAATTTCCCTCATGGCACACTGTATGCCCGTCTTCATTAGCCCAATCGGAGCAGAACAATAGGAATTTAATTTCAGTTTATCATAAAAAAAAAAAGACTAACGTTATGTCACCATTATACATTAAAAGATAAATCATCTTTTAAATTTAGGTATGATGTTTTTGATAAATGCTTTTGGTTTATATTAATATTTCTGTATAATGTTATTTGTTGATATTGTATAACTTTAGGAACAATTTAATTATAGAGATACGTTCTATCAGCAAAATAAATTAAAATACAAAAACAGAACAATATTTTGCTAGATAAATTTAGCTACCCGGATAATTGGTATTAGAATAACATTTTTAGATTTTAGACATGACGATACACTCTCTCGAACCATTGAATAACCCGAGCAGTATTCAATGGTCATTGAGTTCTGTTTTTATTCTATAACTACATGTAAATCTCAAAATACACTGTACTATCCAGATTATAAAAAACAAAATCACCAATAACGTTAAAATTCATCATAAGTTCCGCCCCTTTTTTCTTTCTTTTTTTACAAAAATTGTGGTGGCTAGTGTTGACCTCATTACAGTTTGACATAATTCTGAAAATGACATCATTCTGGACAAAAGAAGTCTCTGTCGAAGCCATTGAATACTACCATGGGTTATTCAATGGCTGTATTCAATGATATTTTCTTGTATTTCTATGTGGTTATAGAATTAATACTAGTATTATTTATCAGAGTTATAATAATTAACTTTTATTTGAAATTGATTTTTCAATTTTTTAAAAATAATTCTACCATGTGCAATAATCTTGCCTATTCGTTTTAGAGTTAGAGACCTTGCAACCAATGTTGTCTTTTTACTCAAATAAATCCTACTGTGATACTTTCATTTGGTTTAGTGTTTTATTGTGAGAGAGAGGGTTTAACATCCACTGGACACAAACTAGGTAATTTTGGGATTAACATCTGGTTCAATTTTATTTCATTTTTTCGCTGTTTTAGTAAAGTTACCACAAGCTTTATGGATTTCTCAGCTGCTCTTGAAATGTTTCTATGGTTACATGTGCAGTGTGTGTTGGGGAGGCGGAAACGATTCTCCTTTGACAGTAGTGTTTTTGCCTACTCTTCTTGGATTCTGACAACGATCTCTTTCGCATATGTGAATGATCACTTTTTCCACAGAACCTCCGTTTTATTGTACCTTCCAACTACATTGCCCTAGATATTCCTTTTCATCCAAACACTGAGGCAACAGGTGCCCCACCCACCATTATTGAACTGGGATTGGAAAATGCAGAATATCACAAATTTCTGATTGTGAGTCCCCCTCATTATTTTGTACCCACCAACTACAGTATACTGGACATATGTTGCTTGTCAACCCAACAGATGACAACAGGGTTTGGAAAATCCCGAACATCACAAATTTCAGATTCCAAACCACACATAGCAAACAAAGAGTTTTTAATTTCTGGACTTATATTCCGAATAGGGTTTAACCTCCACTCGACACAAACTAGGTCATTTCTTGATTGATATATGTTTTAATATTATTTTAATAATTTAATTGCGCGTATGGGTCTTTAGTTGTGGAAGGACTCGGCTCCTTGTCACGTAGATGCTATGTTTTAATTTTATTCACTTTGAATTTTCTCTCTCATTCTTAAACTATATACATTAACAATGATTACATAAAGAAATATAAAATAATGTGGTAATGACAATGAAGAAATTATATTAATAATATTTCTGATTAAATGTATAAAAAATATTAATTTATACAAATTAATATACCGGTAATTCACTTCTAATAACAAAATCAGACAACTTATGACAATTCTGCCAATATTAACAATAATTCAAGCCCATAAATTTTACAAATAAATGTTCATTTATATACACTGCATTTAGGCTACATCAATTTCTTTTTCTGTTTTTTGGGGTCTTGATAAATGAGATGGCATAAAATGGGGTTTAACGTCCTACTGTTCTGCTCCGACTGGGTTAATGAAGACGGGCATATGCTATACAGTGTGCTATGAGGGGAATTTTGCCCTGTGGTCCCGTGTAGACATTGGCGTGCACGTAAAAGATCCCTTGGCAGTTGGAACTCAATATAAGAGTAGGCCATACTGTCGCGGTCCAGGCAAAATTTCACTAAGGGCACACCGTATGACGTATACTTCTCTTCATTAGACCAGTCGGAGCAGAACAGCAAGACTTTGAACTCCATCTCATTTTACTTCATTTCATTTTATTCCCATGGAACAGAATATTTACTTGGTGTGGCCTTCATTACCTGTATTTTGATAAATGTAATAAATCAATCAAACAGCACTCTTGATGATCAATCATCATAAATCAAACTCAAAAAATACAACGCCAAAGCAATTCAATTTTTAGTTCTTCGAGGTCTTTAACTTTTGTGAACAATGTTTTGTTTAAAATTTCAAAGTTAGAAATAAAAGCTTTGGAGACATGCAGAGAGCCGCGGTGGATCATTGAGTAAGATTTTGGCTCGCTAACCTGGGTGTCTCCCTTTGCTGGTGATCTTGGCAGATAAAGCTCTTTGGGATTTCCCATCACAGTTCTCCATGGCAAGGACAGTGTCTAGTCCTTCAAATAGGACAAAAAACCAAGATCACATATAAACATTGGCATGCACGTAAAAGAACCCTCGACAGTTGGAATCTGAAATAAGAATAGGCCGTAGTGCCGCTGTCCGGGCAAACGTTATTCCTCATTGCACACTGTAAGGGTGCAGCCAAGTATTTTTGTATATCAAATATATTTTTGTGCACAAGAATAAAGCAAACTTCCCGAAGAACACAAATTCATATTATTGTGGCCTAAATCCTCAAATAATTTTAATTTTTTTCACTTTCTAAGAAAATTGTAATTCATCTTACTTCTGTGAAAAATTTTAAAGGTGACTTAAAACTTTTATAAGAATGTAAGGCCGTACAAAAATAATATTTTGGTTCCCAGACAATCCTCCCTAAAAATCTGATGCTGGAGGGAGTATTTTTTATTTTGTGTTTTTATTTTGTCAGGGGACGAAGAATGTAAGGCCGTACAAAAATAATATTCTGGTTATCAGCTAGACAATCCTCTTCAAAAATTATATTCGAGAGGGAGGTTTTTATTTGAGTGTCAAAGGATCCAGTCACTACTGGGCTTAATGGATTCTCACATCACATTTCAAGGCACAATATTAATCTCATCTTGTCGTTGTTTATAGGAATGTATGATAATCTAATGTCGTGCATGATGAAATGAAATGAAATGGGCAGATGACCCTGAAATGAAATGAAATGAAATGGGGTTTAACGTCCTACTGTTCTGCTCCTAAACTGGGCTAATGAAGACGGGCATACCCCATACAGTGTGCTATGAGGGAAATTTTGCCCGGGCAGTGGCACTATTGCCTACTCTTATATCAAATTCCAAATTCCTGTATACACAGGACCTCAGTTTTTCGTATCATCCGAAGGACTAGACAGCTGTCCTGCACCACTGTGTACACTTCAAATATTTGCTTCCTATAACTGAGGAAAAATATTTAAATGAGGTAATTAATAAGACTTTTTATCTTTTGATATAAAAATTGTGGACGACGGACGGGGGCGACGGCAATATACGACCAGGTCATGTGGCTCAGTGATGTAGGTGTTTGTATGGCCTTAGTCTATCTTTTTACTTCAACAAGAATTTCGTCAATAAACTGACGTGATCTGAAACCTTGTATGTGACTGGGTAATTAATAAGACTTTTTATCTTCTGATATAAGAACAAGTCATGGGACTCAGTGATGGAGGAGTATCCGAGACCAGAATATTGTTTTTTTATTTCAACAAGAATTTCGTCAATAAACTGACGTGATCGGAACCTTGTATGTGATTGGGTAATCCCCCGATATTGTTTATTTCACGTCCAGACATCAGACCATATCTAGCCAACAATTTTAATTTTCCTTCTTGACTTGCAGGTTTACCCTCGGGTCTATTACAACGACTTCCGCTATAGAAGATGTAGTCTACGGTACATCCTTCCGAATCGTGCAGGGTTGTGACCTCCGGTTCACGGAAACCACATCGCTGTATTCGGTGTTTATATGCCGATAACAGATTAAACTTGTGCCATAATTTACCCGAGGCGTGGCTAAAATGTGGTTGGGTACTGGATGATAAAGAATTATAATCCGAGGTAGAACTGTCGTTTGATATAAGAGTTTGGTTTTGTTCAATCTCTGCATCCCAATTTTCACTCGCATCAGATTTTAGAACAGTTTTTGAAACATCAGAAACTGGAGCGTCTTCCTTAAATCCAACATTTTCGAAATTTAATCGTTCCCTATCTTGAATATCACTTTGCGTTTCGGTTTCAACTGATGCTGACGGTGGCATTTCAGAATTTTCAAGTCTTTTCGTCTGTTGTATGTTAATGTGACGCTTGATTAAATGTTCAACATACTGACATTGATCGGTGATTCCGTACGATTTGTCGAAAAAATGTCTATGAAGTTGAACATTCCTTCCATAAAAACCTTCACGCTGTCCTGAAAACTGTCTTGTTAAAAGGCCTTCGTAATGGACGTAACCGGTTGACAGAAACTTGTATAAATCACTTTGCGGTCCGGAATTAAAATCACCACACAATACTACAGGAGCATAACGTAACTTCGGATCGTGATCGAAATGCGCGTCATTTTTCGAGGGTTTGTGAAGACAGATATCCAGCTCCGCTAATAAAACCATTAGCTGACCCAATTTAATGTCTCCGCGACGTGGGTTGTACAACAAATGAGTGTTGGCAATGCATAATTTATTTGCTGATCCGTGGTAAAATTTAGAATTCGGTGCTAGTTCGAGGATTAACGCTACGTTGTCTCGATCTAATAGTCCACCTCGGTAATATTCGACTGGTGTTGATTGGAGAAGAGAGAATTTCTCGAGATTAAAGAAGGTAGCACAGCCGTCTGGTTTGTCTCCTGATCGTTTCAAATATTCACTACCATAACCTGTAAAATATAACAAAACAGTAAAATACAATAACAAAATAATCATTTGCTTCAAAAACGTTAAGAGAACCCGCAATGAGAGAGAGAAATTGGGTTAATCATCCACTCGACACAAACTAGATCATTTCGCGACTAAAATATGGTTCAATTTGATTTCAATAATTCGCTTGCACGTAGAGGTCTTTAGCAAGGGGAGGAAACCAGAGGACCCGGAGGAGAAAACCCATGAAGTTGGAAAGGCGACCCTACTCCTTGTCACATACAACCGGGGAATCGAAACCACGCCAGCTGACTCAATGACAGACCTTATGATACAGCGCGCACATGCTAACCATTCAGCCATCCCAGAACCCTCAATGAAATGTTGCTTTAAAGATACATTATGGGAGATTCGATAACGAGTTGGCAGTTCTTACTATAATAGTTACTGAAAATTTCATTCAACTTGATCCACTATGAATCGAGAACTAAGCGGTTGAAATTTCCGACTAGCCTTGATCATCATTACTAAAGTCAGTACGATAAACAGCATAGTCTTGAATATCCATTTAATCGTTAAATCGTGAAGGAAAGTTATGCAGTAAATCGGCTCATAATCCACTAAAGATGCCATCTAGAGTTGATTATGGTCTGGATAAGTTAATTAATGTCTAATTTCAGGCCTAAAGAAAGACCTGCAATAGGCAGATTTAGCTCTTGTATAATGTATGTTTAATTAAAATAGTAATTGTGTTCCATAATATGTTTTAGTGTTCATTACATGTGTCAATTGTTAAATTCCGCGCAACACAAATAATATAAATAATTTAAAGTAGCTAAGTCTCTAACTCAATATCATCTAAAGTCTTTGATATTGAAAACACAAATTATTTGTCAATCTAAATCAACATTGATGTTGTGATCTTACCGGGAAAAGGTGGGCTTCGGATATATAATATTACAGACAAAATAAACAATTTACCATTGGTACACGTATCGTGTACCATAATGCGTTTCAGCACCATTTGTAACAAGGGACTCAAAGAACGAGGCTAGACATACTCCACAAGTCGTATCAAACGGTGATGCCATTTTCTTATCTGGAGAGCATGCCCAATAAATACTATCGGTGTAGACTGGAACAACCAGCCATTAGAGGTTGTCATTTGATTGAGACTTCTGGTGTATTTCGCCAAACATAACTGATTTGAAATGAGTGAAAAGACGGAAATGATTGAATGTAAATCAGTTTGTATACATTCATATTACATTATTATAGGTGTTGTGACCCATTTGTGTTAATTTCTAGGTCCCAAATATTAGCGATTTAGCTCCTTTAACATGAAAATTCTAGACAATAGAACAACAAAAGAGGCCATTTGCAATATCTTTTTCAACTTCAGTACAAATGACTGAGCAGAATTCCCAAACCGAACTGTAACAAGGACGGGGGAATCTACCATTGTTCTGTTCGTTAAATAAGCAGATTGTTTTTGCTGTAATAGATTGGGTGGAGCTTAACTAGATATTTTCAATGTATCCTATGAGGAAAATTTTGCCTGGACAGTGGCGCTATGGCGGCCCTCCGTCCTGCATCACTGACAAGAGGAAACAACGCCGGAAAATAAATATAACACTTACCCATCTTACGTAGATGATGTCTAAAGAAAGATTCATAATGATCAAACTGAACTTCTTGTAAACAGATGATCTGAAAAAAAAAAAATAAATAAATAAAAATCACAACAGAATGATTATCGTAACAGTTTCAATACTGAGCTTAAAAACAAAATGAAATGAAATGAAATGGGGTTTAACGTCCTACTGTTCTGTTCCTACTGGGCTAATGAAGACGGGCATACGCCATACAGTGTACTATGAGGGATATTTTGCCCGGGCAGCAGCACTATGTCCTACTCTTATATCGAATTCCATCTGCCAAGGGATCTTTTATGTGCACACCAATAAAATGTGTACACGGTACCTTGGTTTTAAGTGCCATCGAACGACTAGACAGCTGTCCTTGTAAGGCCCTCCGTCTTGCCCCACTGACAAGGGAAACCTCACACCTGAGCCTAGGCAGACTACAGTTATTTCATCTGAGTCTAGGAGTTTAAAGTTGCTAAATGTCAGTTGCATTTTTCACCTCTTAAACCACGTTCAAATCTGCCTAAATTGGTTATTAGTCAAAGATACATTATGTCGATCATAGGCTTGATTACATAGGACGTTGTAGCATAAACTGGTCCAGGAAGAATGGTGCCTCTATTTTTCTAATACTTCAAAAAAAATGTTCTAGAATTTAATTTGCAGAAGGAAAAAAGTTAATATTGGGAGCTAATTAAGCCACATCAAATTCATCCCTTTCAATGATTGAAGCGACCTAGTGAATATTCACTGCTGATCAGTATGTATGTCACCCCTCTCAGCGATTGTAACAGCCTAGCGAATATTCACTGCTGAACAGTGTGTCATTTTTGTTCTGACATTACTTTTATAGATGCAACTTTTAGAATATTGTAGTTCAAAAATTTATGATTAATAATCCCTCAAAAATTACAATCAGAATCAGAGAGAGAGAGAGAAAGAGAGAGAGAGAGAGGAGAGAGAGAGAGAGGATTTAACATCCACTGGACACAAACTAGGTCATTTCAGGACTAACACATGGTTCAATTTGATTTAAATAATTTGCTTGTGCGTAGGGGTCTATAGCAGTGGGAGGAAACCGGTGGACCCGGAGAAAACCCACCAGGGTGGACAGGCGACCCTACAAGCAGAGAATCGAAACCATGCCAGTTGACTCAATGACAGACTTTATGATACAGCGCGCATATGTTAACCAGAAACTTACATCAGGTTTAAAATATTTCAATTCTTCTAATATTCTCTCACTCCGCATATCCCAGTCCAATGATTCCGGTGAACAATTAGCGTAGAGTTGTAAATGCCATTCTAGTAATTTCTGTGATAATACGTTATATGACATCACGGTAAACGGTAATCCCGATTTAAAGCGACCAGAACTTTCTCTTTCAAATCTTAAACCAGCTTCTGTATATTCCCATTTTCTAGGAAGACTCGAAAATCCTACAATCAAACATATAAATAAATTAATTTCTAACATATACCAAGATAGGTTGCCAGGCAACGAAACATACGCCCACAGCAGCTAAGTCATCCAGGGTGTCAACAAGGGTTATCGCATATTTTGTTTTTTGTCACACTAAAATCTGATTACAAGTAACAAACCATTTGGCTTCTAGTTCTGCCCTATTTAAACATACAAAACATTTAATATCAATTTCCATAATCATTGGAAATCATTGAAAATTGACAGGCTTCTTCATCTCATGATTTCTACACGATTGTTCAATGACATCAAGGGCTATAACTATAACTCTGACTGTAATTATCGGATATAGTTGAAAATCAATTGGCTTCTTTGTCTCATGACATTTAACACTGCGTGTAAATTCAAAGTCAATCAGATATTAACTTTAGCCTTTAGAGCGTTCACAAGATTTTTCAAAGTGATCAAGGGCCATAACTCTGGCAGTAATTATCAGGATACCCAGAGTTCCGTGCCCCGTATGCCAATAACTTGTTTCATTGGCTAATCCCTCACATCACCCAGAACACAGGTTATATAACAACTCTTCCAATCCTAGTGTAGTAAAGACAAGTAAAACGAAATTTTGAACTATAAAAAACGAAACGAAATAGGATCGGTGTTTTTAAAATCAGATTTCAAGTATTAAACAAAACATAAAATCTTGCAATTGGAAATTCAATGTCTAGTTAACACATTACCAAGGTCATTTACGGTGGAGACATTTTTTCTGGACAATTTTAACATTTTTTTTCTAAAGTATATGTAGGCCTTACAGCAATTTTAGGCCTTAGAATCTCGTAAATCAATAAGAAATGAAGGAATCTAAAACAAAAGAGGGATAACATTATAAATTCTAAATCTCTTTCAAAAATCAAATTTTCTTACCAATTGGGTCTCTTTTCCCCTTATTAGAAGGTTTATAGTCTTTTTTGTGTTTTCTATACTGTTTAGGGTCATCATATCTCGACCACAACGGTTTGTCATCTCTATTATATTTCTGTTTTTCTTTGGGTCGAAGCGAAGTCCAATTTCCTTGCGCGACGTTCTCAACCATATTATTATTAGAAGTCGTGGTATGTTGACTTGCATCTACAGACGTTTTTGAAGATTTAACATGTATTTGTGTTCGCGTAGAATACAGGGCTCTAGGTTGGAATTGAAGAACCGAAGCTTTGGAGATTTCGCTAACGGGGACCGATTGATTGGTTAAAGTTGGAGCTGATGTTAGAGAATACCGATTTCGTTGATCACAAGATGCCTGAGAACTTTGCTGATAATCTGTCATCGTTGCTGGTCGTGGATTCTGAACTTCACTGGCCCCAACTTTTGTTACTTTTGCTGAGCCCCCAGTCTCTACACTTGTACATTTTATTTTGGGATCAGATTTCATGATGTGTTCATCAGATTTTCTTTTACTGGAGAATTTTCTTGGTCTCGTTTTCTCCATTCTGATCCATGCTAGTTGCCTAGTGGCACCAACGGATCTCTGACAGATATTTACCAAATATCTGAAAAATACACAAATTCTAACTTTTATAAATGTTAATTCCGACATCGTACGGATTACACAGCATGTCGGAATATTCAATTGCTGCAATACCGGAAGCATTATGCCAGAAGTACTAGATGTAGAGTTCCGGAATCTGCAGAGGTTTGCCGAGTGTGTATTTGACGTGAGAAACTCAAATCAAATGCCAAGCACTCTCTCTTTCCAAGAAATTATTAAATTATAGATGTAATCAACTGAGACCGACACATGTTTTATGCTCACAGATAATTGATTGGTGATTGAAGACCGCATTATCCAATGTTAATTCAATGCAAATCGTGTGACGGGTAAAGTGTTATTCCTTGTCTAGACCCCAAAACCATACACCTTTACCATGCCATAATCTTTCTATTTATACACTAAACATACATTATGCAAGAGCTAAATCTGCCTATTGCAGGTCTTTCTTTAAGCCTGAAATTTATACAAACTATTAATTAAACATTTATTAACATGAAAAGACCTAAATCAACTCTTGATGCCATCTTATGCATCTGATTTTCACTGGATTTGAACCTGATCTGCTGCTCAACACTCATTGATGATTAAATCAAGAAATAGATAATCGAGACTTATGTTTTTTATCGTACCGACTTAAGTAATGATGATCGAGGCTAGGCCTAAAATTCAATCGCTAATATCTTGGTTCACAGTGGATCAATTTGACAGAAATTTTGAGCATATCCCCTTAACATTATCTAGTTTTTAACTATTATAGTTAGAACTGCTAGCTCGTTATCTAATCTTACATAATGCCTCTTTAATATAGGGAGACACTAATTGATCACCTGATAGTACATGTCGATCAACAATTTATATCTAATGGAGAATATTCCTCAATTAATATTTCTGAATGAGTGTAAACTACAACTTAGATAATATGCAAATATCAATATCCATTACATTTTACCGTGTCATAGATGTATGTGATGTGATAATGTGACATGTTTAACATCCTACTGTTCTGCTCCTAAACTGGGCTAATGAAGACGGGCATATGCCATACAGTGTGCTATGAGGGAAATTTTGCCCGGACAGCGGCACTACGGCCTACTCTTATATCGAATTCCAACTGCCAAGGGATCTTTTACGTGCACGCCAATGCGTACACGGGACCTCGGTTTTTCGTCCCATCCGAACGACTAGACAGCTTTCCATGTCAGCCCCTCATTCCAGCATCACTGACAAGGGAGAATCACGCTGGAAAATCTGGATGAACTTTCTCGGCCAATGCAGGGATCGAACACCCGACCTCCAGGCTAGCGAGCTAGCGTCTTAACCACTTGATCCCCCCACAGTTTAAAAATCAGTCAATAAGACTTCTAATTTGAAAGGAAACTTCAAGTCGTGATTTTGACTATACACAGACGAAAATCTAGACTTGACAGTGAATAAATAGGAGATTTTTTTGTTGTTATATAACAAGTATTAAAGGGACAATAACACTCTTGCTGGCTTGACAGCTTCAGAAAATAAAAAATAGCCTTATTCTAAGTACTAGATGTGTTAGTGTCCTACCTGTTTTGTAAATTATCCATTAAATACTATTTTACTTGTCCAGAGGGTTCGAAAATATTTTCAAACCCAAGTAACATTTGAAAAGCTTTACATCAGGCTTTTCAAATCATTTAGTTGAATTTTTCCAATTTTTTAAATTAGGTGTGTTAAGATGAAATTTGTATCATCAATTAATTGGAATATTGTAAAATAGTACAATTTGTTGACCAGAATAAAGATTGGGACATATTATTCAGTTACAACAAGAGTGGTATTGAGCCTTTAATGCATAGGCCTATACATCTCTAATTAAACATACGATTTCTATTTCATATAAAACTGAAATTAATAACTATTTCTAAACAAGGGCAATAATAACTATTATTATGTACAGTCGCAAAGTTTCAACACTTACATCCAAATGATGTAGGGGGTGGGATGACTGAATTGTTAGCGTGTGCGCGTTGTATCATAAGGACAGTCATTGAGTCAACTGGCGTGGTTTTGATTAACTGTTTGTATGTTTTAAGGAATAGGGTTGCCTGTCCACTCCAACCTCGTGGGTTTTCTCCAGGTCCTCCGGTTTCCTCCCACTGCTAAAGACCCCCTATGCGCAAGCGAATTATGGAAATAAAATTAAACCATGTTAATCCCAAAATGACCCATTTTGTGTCGAGTGGACTTTAAACCTCATTTCTCTCTCTCCAAATGATATACGTCGATGATGTAAGCAAATGTTGACTTGGATAGATAACCGACATTTAATTCATCATTTTTTTTATTCGCTGTGTCGTTCAACCCATTCACGCAGTTCTGCGGGAGTTGAAATTTGTGATGGTCTCCAAATCCCAAATCATATTTTGATATAAAACTGAAATTAATAATTTTTATCACCTAAACAAAAGCAATAATCACTATTACATTTTATATACAAAATCATATTTTTATAATTCCAATGAGAAAATCAAACAAGCTCATTACACAATAATCTATAAGCAGATGGTAATCCACACAATAACATACAATAATTAAATCCTGTATCCTATTATTAGGCCTAATCCCGTCTAACAAAAGGTGTTAATATTATTATTATTATTATTACTTACAAATTGTACCACATCATTATCATATCAACTGTAGCCTAATCTCTCAATTCTCATCATTTCAACAAATTAGAAATTAAAAACCTTCTAATTCTAACAACTTCTTGTAGGTTAGTGGGCCTACTGCTTCTAACGCGACTGTCTGAGTCAGGGTTAGAACAGATACTGAGCTAACAATAAAGTACGTTCCTAATAGTTCAATAACCTCACAGCCCAACCCACTTTCATCTGAAAACTCGCCAAGTCCAAGGTTTTTCTCGTACATTTGTATTTAGCGTCATAGCGAGGTCAATATGCCCTTTATTTATTTATAACGCAAAATCGAAGCAAAATTAATCATATTATTAGGCTTTTCCAATCTGAAATAAGTTGAAGGGGTCAAGAGGGAGGCATAAACTAAAGTTACGACATTTGTTTTTGTAGGTCAAATATCGGTTTATTAAGTTCATCGTTACTTAATTTATCCCGTGCCAGTGGCGATTCGAAAGGTCAAGGCCGCCTACTCGACATGACGTGAGCCAATTTCATTCATTTCAGACATTTCAAGTTTACCCTAGTTTTAACAAGACATTGGACACAAATATTAAAATGCTAAAGCCTTTTCAATTGTCATAGATTGAAAGAAAAGCCCAAAAATAAAAATTACCATTGAGCCATGTAGAATAAGGACTTCCGATGTAATAATGTTCACGAACTGATCATGCGTTAGTCACAATTTTGGTGGTTGGTGATGAAATGAAAGTACTGGTTACTGGAAATAACTCTGTTTTGTGTTCTTAAATGGAGTTGCCTCCCTTCCACTGTATATGCCAACTAATATGATACTCAAATTTTTGGAATTTAACTATTGTACCTGTTCCCATGATAACAGAAAAGGAATTAAACTGAACGTCTCGTGAAAACACAATATTTTGGGACTAACATAAGTTTTTTTTCTATAGTTACATGTGCAATGCTAGGTCATAGGAGAGCGATCTTTCCAACTTTCAAAATGAAATGAAATGGGGTTTATCGTCTATGAGGGAAATTTTGCCCGGATATACTCCTTATATCTAATTCTAACTGGCCTCCAATGGATCTTTTACGCCAAAGTGTACACGGGACCTCGGTTTATCGTCCCATTCGAACGACTAGACAGCTGTCCTTACCAGGCCATCCGTCCTGCACCCTTCACAATGGGGAAACCACTCCGGGAAATCCTGATGAACTTTCTCGGCGAACAACGTGAGCGAACCTATGACAAGGACAAAAAATAGAGGTCAAATCTACAGCTGGATTTCAATTGCTGTCCGTGCAAAATTTCACTGATAGCACACTGTATAGGTGCCCGTCTTCCTTAGTCCAGTCGGAACAGAACAGTAGGACGTTAAACCCCATTTAACTCTTTCATTCCATTCCAGTACAAAATGCAATAGTGTTATTGTGCATGTCATCCAGATCAGCTATGTTACAAGATTAGATGACGTATCTAATCCGTTGTATAAACCGTAGTAGGTCTACCAAAGGTTAGAGTGTGCGTGCTGTATCATAATTAGAGTGTGCGTGCTGTATCATAAAGTCTGTCATTGAGTCAACTGGCGTGGTTTCGATTCCCCGGTTGTACATGACAAGGAGTAGTGTCGCCTGTCCAACCTCGAGGGTTTTCCCTGGGTCCTCCGGTTTCCTCCCACTGCTAAATACTCCTACGCGCAAGCGAATCATTGAAATAAAATTGAACCATATGTTATTCCCGAAATAACCTAGTTAGTGTCGAGGGGATGTTAAACTCCCCCCCCACTCTCTCTCTCTAAAGACCCCTACGCGCAAGCGAATTATTGAAATAATAAAATTGAACCATGTTAGTCCCGAAATGACCTTGTTTGTGTCGAGTGAACGTTAAACCCATCTCTCTCTGTCTCTGTCTCTGTCTCTCTCTCTCTCTCTCTTTCTCTCTCTCTCTTCCAATACAAAATGCAACAGTGTTATTGTGCACGTCATTCGGTTTAGCTATGATACTAGATTAGATTATGTATATTATCTAATCCGTTGTATAAACTGTAGGAAGTTTTGTTATCATTAGTTTTTACAGATACTATTTATTATTATATGATCTATAGACCTGCCAGTATTAACACGATTATAGGCTAATCCATCTCGTTATCCACATGATAAAAATCATAAAATACACGATTAGTCAAATATCTTCAGGATTAAACGATTATCACCCGGCTTGTTTCTATGTAATATTTTAGTCAGGGCGACAAATATCGATTAATCGTAATATCGATTATCCGGATTTGATCGGTCAAATACATGTCATGAGTAATAATTACATGTGAACTCTGTATTGGAAATGAAATGCTCCGACTAATCTAAATCAACAGAGAGAGAGAGAGAGAGAGAGAGAGAGAGAGAGATGGGGTTCAACGTCCACTGGGGTTTAAAGTCCACTCGACACAAACTAGGTCATTTCGTGACTAACACATGATTCGATTTTATTTCAATAATTCCATTGCGCACAAGGGTCTTTAGCTGTGGGAGGAAACCGGAGAACCCAGAGAAAACCCACGAGGTTGGACAGGTGACCGTACTTCTTGTCACTTACAACCAGGGAATCGAAACCACGCCAGTTGACCCAATGGCAGATCTTATGATACAGCGCGCACGCGCTAACCATTCGGTCATCTAATCCTCTCTAAATGAACAAGATCTATAAATTCTATAATTCTGTTTGTGAAACGTTATAATATACAGTGAGTTTGTGTGTGTGTGTGAGTTAGTTGTATTTTACGTCCGCTTCCACCGACGTGATATCGCAGACAAAGTTATATATACAAATATTTGAATGTTCTGTTTGATAGTTTTTGTGTTTAAAGAAAGACGATATGTTTTATTAAGAAAATTATCGTCAGTAATCACCCCACGGGTCTTGGCTTCTGTTCATCTTAACACGACCCCCTGTCACATTAGGCTCAAACTATTGTCACACGCATCCACGTGACAGTTCTGTCAACAGTAATATATATCAGTCAAATCATTTAATAGACTCGAGTAAATAATTACCCCCCCCCCCCTTGTTAACATTCACCAGTTGGTATTTCTACCATACCTACAATTTAATTTCTTCATATTACTGTCCCGCGATGGAATTGTTCTTTAAAGGTGGGGTCCTTTTTTTCACGAGGGTCTCCGAAGATATAATGTTCGCTTAAATATGCATATCAAATATGAATAAATGGTATGTTTCCCATTGTCATTACAAAATTTTCAGTTTAAGATAATGAAACTTTTAAAAAAAAAAAAAAAAAAAAAAAAAAAAACAATCATGAGTGTACTGTGGACCTGGAACCGTGTATGACGTCATCGCCGCCATCTTGAAATAAAAATAATTATTTCAATAATTCGTGTGCGCGTAGAGATCTTTAGCAGTGGGGGGAAACCGGAAGAACCGAAGAAAACCCACGAGGTTGGACCCTACTCCTTGTCACGAACAAGCGGGAAATGACAGACCTTATGATGCAACGTGCACACGTTACCCCCCCCCCCCCCGCCCCCAAGAAGAACAACAACTTGAGTAGCGCCTGGACCCCTGTTACTGATACAAAAATGATCGACAGACAAGTAGCAAACGATTACCATACATTCAGTTGTATATATTCCGCGTTCTGGCTGATGTGAGGAATTAGCCAATAAAACGGTCTGTTGCAGGGACTTCTTGGCTTGCGATGCACGGAACTGTGGGTGTCCTACTAGAAACGTCAACGACGATTGGTTAATCAAATGTCTGGCGTCATAGGGCCAAAAGCCGCTCGCACGACCCCTGACACGACCTCCCACTACAACAGCTCAGACCTTCATGTAGTGTAGCCCATTGAAAGTATAAAAAAACCAACGTAATAAAGATCTGTATTTTAATCAGATTGGATTTTTTTGGGCGGACATAATTTTATGGGTGAACAATAAGTAGTGGGTATATGCCCATAATTTTATGGGTGAACAATAAGTAGTGGGTGTATGCCCATAATGCGAACTTAAAAATGTAGCCAGCAATACATTCTGTTACGTATTATGTCGAAATAATTTTTTTGGGCGGACATAATTTTATGGGTGAACAATAAGTAGTGGGTATATGCCCATAATTTTATGGGTGAACAATAAGTAGTGGGTGTATGCCCATAATGCGAACTTAAAAATGTAGCCAGCAATACATTCTGTTACGTATTATGTCGAAATAATTTTCATTTTCTCAATCATTAGGAATTTGTTTTTTAAATACTGTTGCTATGACCCTTTAAATGTATTATTTGTCAGGTATGATTAGAAAACTTCTAATAATAAATCTCATATTTCTTCACGTATGTTCTATCTTGTATATTGTCTTGTAAACATGTAAGGGTTATTCACATCTTGTATATAATATTACATTACCCCTTATACTCCTGTTGATAAAACAGGTATACTAGCAAATATACCTAAATATACACCCGATCATATTGACCATTTATTTGTTCTTAAGACAGACTATATCGTCTACTGAACGGGGAGGGAATGGTCATATTTCTTTTAGGCCTAATTAATTTAATTCTTAGTATTTTTAGGGTCTAGCCAGTGAATTCTTGTTTTCAATGGTTTGTCAAAACTTAAATATTTGGAACTAAGCGGTTTTGAGAAAAGCAACTCAATACTATTTGTGTTAAAATTATTTTTTGTTATGACTAAATTGGAGGCAGAAGTTTATAAGAGAGAGAGAGAGAGGGGGAGAGAGAGAGAGAGAGAGAGGGCGCGAGAGAGAGAGGGGGGGGGGTAACGTCCACTAGACATAAACCAGGTCATTTCGGGAATACAATATGGTTCAACAATTTTATTTCAATAACTCGCTTGGTGAAACGTTCACTCGACACAAACTAGGTCATTTCGGGTCATGATTCAATTCATTTCAATCAGTTATTTGCGCGTAGGGTTCTTTAGCAGTGAGAGGAAACCGAAGGACGCAGAGAAGCCCCACGGGGATGGACAGACGGCCCTACTCCTTGTCATGTACAAGTGTGTTTGATCGAAACCCCGCCAGTTGACTCAATGACAGACCTTATGATCCAAAGCACACGCGTTAGAATATTCTGTCACCTAACTTCCGACCGAGAAAGTTCATCGGGATTTTGAGGACGGAGGGTCTGACAAGAACAACTGTTTCTAGTCGTTCGGATGGGACAAAAAAAAACGAGGTCCCGTGCACGTAAAAGGACCCTTAACAGTTGAAATTCGATATAAGAGTAGGCCGTAATGCCGCTTCTAGAACAAAAATTTCCCTCATAGCACACTGTATGGCGTGTGCCCGTCTTCATTAACCCAGTGGGAGCAGAACAGTAGGACGTTAAACTCCATTTCATTTCA